TTGCTACAAATATTCTCCAATAAATAAACCTTTGATGTGTTTTATTTAGCATAAATCTTTTTAAACTTTATAGTAGAATCTCAAAATAAAAAAGTATACATCATAAATTTCAAAGTAGAAATATACAATATAGCTGTATCAGAACTGTATATAACAATATGTCTGTTTCAGAACGTGCACATTATTATTATCGATAATAAAATATTCATACGTCAATAAGAAAGAAGTACCAAAATATTAAAAGTGTAACGAAATTTTATCGTATGCACTGCCGATTTATTGAATCTATTTTGATGTTTATTACAATGAATAATTACATATTTCTGTCGGCTAATTAAATATGTACCATTAATGTAAATATGTTTTAAATAATTGATAAATGTTTGATAAATTGATAAATGGAAATAAGAGGTTTGTATAGGTATTAATTTAAGAAATCAGGTCGCGTGTACGAATTTGGAACGAACGGAGTAAAATCCATCACACAAAATCCGGCACACAACAGGGTCGTAAATAATCAAAGGCTCTTCGGTGCTGTGACCCGACAACAATATTGTAACACTGGGACTACCGTCGCCGATAACATACGATTGACAGGGTAGTCTCTATCGGCGTATATCCTATCTTCGTCTACGTGACAGGTGCCGCTGCAGTTGCACTGGAAACGGGCGATACGTATAACATGAAGATCTCCGACATCTGCGAGAGTGTAATAATTTTCTCTCTTTAGTTGAAATAACTCGTCGCCATTGTTGATACTCGAAAAGAACAAATTTGTGTTGTTTTCCCTTAAAACTCGTTCCGGCAGAATAGCAGCATACCTTTCCTTCATTTCCTCCGCGTCTTTCATCGCTTGGTGAGCTTTCTGCAAAAAGATTTCGCATGAATTACCGCGCCGCGAATCAATGCCGCAATAATACAAATCTAAAGTTCTATGCATTGTGCTTCGCAAAGTGCTCCGCATTGAAAACCCTCCTCTCTCCCTTTTCCCCCATCTGGCAATATCATCGACTTCCTCCTTCTCCCCCAATGTACGTTGTTTCAATATTTCATCGCTTCCGCTTTATTCGGCCGTACACGAGCGTGATAAAAAATAAAGTAGGCTATCGCTGTCGCGCTCTTACCGCGATCTCCGACTCGCTCTGTTTATCTTCGGCGAGTTTCCGCCATTTCAGGAAGGCAGTCTTATACACACTCCTCGCTTTTTCGTATTCTGGGTAAACGTCAGTAGCGAGGCTCTTGTACCCGAATGCGCCAGCTGCGCCGGTATTGCCGTCTCTTCCGTAAGAGCTACCGCCAAGAAACCAGACGGTGTATGCTCGCAAAATTGGATATTGCTTTGTACGCATGTGCCAATATAAGGAAAAGTAAAGGGCGAGCTCTTGATTGGGGCCACCCTTGCCGAAATTCTCGCCGAGATTAACGGCCGGTCGACCTCCCAGCAAAAGGCACAGTCCCAAACCCCATTTGTCCTTCGTAGGAAACATCTCCCACACCTTCCGGTCGGTCAAAGAACATACCGGACTCTCCTTCATCTGCTCGTACATCTCCAACTTGGTAATTTTGTTCTCGACCGCCAGGATCATTAGCGACGCGATCTTCGCGTACTCCTGCGCGAATTCCTCGACGGTCCCGCCACGGATGGAGTTTAATTTCAAAGGGGAGAGTCCCAGTTTGAGGGCTTCCGTCGTCATACACTCTATAGCGTCGGCGTTGCACGCGATCACATATTGCTGCACGAACTTATACCTCTTCTTCTCGTTCAATTGGGTGTCCGCCCTCGTCTTCCGGGGATCGGATTCCCCTAATAGCTCGCGAACGTTTTGCGATACTTTGTTGACAAGTTTATACTTTGTCAAAATAGCTAGGGCTTTTTCATCTTTTGGATCGTAAACGCACGGACCACCTCCCAATTGTTCCGATGGTTCCGCTGACACGTCAGATGCGAAGAGGGTGATGATTTTAGCTGGATAAGCCAGACGTGCCAGATCACCGCCTGAAATTTACTCTTTTTACTGTATATGTTTCTCGCTTATAATCTTTTAATTATTATTTGAGAAAAAAGGATTTAATAAGTACATACAATTTACAATTTTTTTTACAAGTGTAAAAAGATGTCTAAATATATAATTTATAAAGTAAAAATGTCAATATTGGATATTTAAACATATATAAAAAGATAAATAAAAAATTATTTGAAATTTTGATTGTAAATTTAAATGTAATATTATTTAATTATGAAAGTAATGAAATTGACCTGCCTTAAATTATACTTGTATGTGCTTAGACTTCCGATAGAATGCAAGAGTCGAAATGTGAGTTCAAAGTTTTATTAAAAAGAAGGGGTTTATAAAATTTTCTCGCACCTAAGTAAACCACTTACCTCTTATCGCAGAAAGTTTATTTCTCACGATATTGATCTCCTCGGGAGTCGCATTAGCAGCTTTTAACCTGTTGAGAACTCTTAACTTATCTTTCAATGTAATTGTATTTCGCGGACAGCACAGAAGATCGTCTAGCTCTCGCGACAGCATAACTATTAATAAGTCACGTTTTTCAGTCGCTTACAGTAATTCGCGATCTTCTGCGTAATTTCGACTGTTTTCTCGTCTGGTTGTCCATCTATTCCGGCTTCAACGAAAGTTATACGACTGTCCAACTTTGGAAGCGCTTCCGGAAAGTTCCACCTCATAGAGATCGATTTGTGAGGCACCACTATAAATCCTCTTTTCAGTTGTTTGCCAACCACTTTTTCAAACGCCAAGCTCATTGTAACAACTTCCTTACCCCAACCAACAATATGTAAATTATTTTTATTTTGTACTTGACATCGTTAATTGTCAGTGTTGCACGACCGTCATACTTAATCTTCTTAGGTATAATTACAGGTGGGTAAATGCATTTAATACCCGCTTCAGTGATAGTACTGAGATCTTTACGAATCTATATTTATCGAGAATTTCAACAAGTAAGTTTATGTACTAAAGAAGGGATTTTAGAGAGCTCTAAAATAATTCTATAACATTATAATTTATATTATACTTTTGTAATGTTTTTTATATTAAATTATGTCATTATGATATTGTTGTATTAATTATTGCAGAAATTATTAATACTTTTATAATTAATATTTGTTTTTAATTTAAAATATGCATAAATAAATATTGTCATGTTGGGTCAAGAAATATTATATTTTTTTAAATTAATGATTGGAAAGATATACATATACAAATTGTATGTGTATTTATAATAAATATTAGAAAGAATAGCAAATGTAATTTTTGTTAAAATTGGTGTTATTATGTATACATATATATTTAAGGGTATAATTCAAATAAAATCAAATAAAATGGAGAGAAAGAGATATAATTTTTCTTCCATAAAATTTAATAAATTATACGCACGTATCAAATAAAATATATTAAAATATATATTTTGGAGAAATTATAAAAATAATTATAGTAAATCAAATAATTTGTTTTCTTTTTAAATAATAGTAGAAATAGTAAAAAAATTGCTGATGTTACATTATAACCTGCGACATTGCTTTTTCTCCGGGTATGTTTTTTGTATCTTTAATTTCTTCCTGCCGAATGCTTGGTTCCACGTTGGAACGTGCATTTTCTATCACTATTCTATCAAATCGTGGTTGCTTTAAAGAAAGTTCTACGTCGTTTACGACTTGCTGTCTTTTCGTTTCTACCGCCGCAATTTTTTGCACTATTTCTTCTTGTTCCAATGAATTGATCTCTTCTTGCTTGCGTTGTTTGTCCTTTCTTTCATGTTGTTTCATGGTTTAATAGAACTTTTATGATTTTGTGAAAATACAGTAAAATTGCCAAAAAATTTATATGGAATATTTTGATTTGATTGTCACATTTTAGGTTATTAAGAATATAATTTCTGAATATACCTATATGAATATAATTTCATGTTGTTTTAGAATATCCTATTTTAATCATAAAAATATTAAATTAATTTTAATTTATTAATAAATATACATTTTAATATATACATTAAATATACATAATATATTATATTAAAATTTATCAAATTATGCCTACAGTTACTAAATTTTTTCGACTTTTAATTACTTATTTAAAATAAAAAATAATTATAAGAATTGATTAATAATAGAAAATATTAAATTAATAATTTTATCTGTCTTTTTAATTATAATATTTTTTAAAATATATATTGAATGTGATATATATATTTATATCAATAATTATAATATATAAGTTAAAGAAATAAGAAAATATAAAAACTAATGTAAATATTTAATATTTAAAAAAAATTAATTTATAATAATTATATAAATTTAAATAAAGATTTGAGTCAAGATTCTGCCATTTTTTTAAACAATAACAATTAAATTTCTTTTAGAATTATTATTTGTATCTTTTATTATTTGAAGTAATATGTTAAAATATTTAAAAATTATGAAATGTATGGTTAAATTTGTGTACAAAATATGTTTGATTAATCCCTTGACCCGCAATTTATGGATGTAAATAACATAGACCTCAAAAAGTAATTTTTTTTTACCATCAGTGAATAATTTTGGTAATGTAATTCTACCCTCGGAAATGAATGTAGATGACAGTACTAAGCAAGCCTTGGCAAAAAGCCGCTTACACATGCCAGGTAACAGGCAATAGGAACAGAGGGTATAGAGAATATCCACCAATAGAAAAAGGAAACAAATATTATTTCCTGTTTCTATTGATAAATATTTTCTATTTCCTATTCCTATATTGCCTATTGCCTGGTACTGTGCAAGAGAGCCTTAAATATTTCATTAAAAAAATGCGAAAATGGCTGCTTTCTATCTGCGTACATATTGTAGAAAAATTGAACACAAAAGAGGTTATGTGAAAGTCAAAAGTATATAAATCGGAATACCTCGTTCCTAAAATAATACAGACTGTGCGAGTGGGAGTGTACGAGACTTTTGTAGAAAATGATCGCCCACGCGGTGTCCAGAAAAATTAACAGAACATAAAATTATGTTTAATAACTGAGAGAACGACAGTTTACTACGAATTACTAGTCGTTACAACAGAGGCTGGGAATTCATCTTTAGAAATAATGGAAAACCGTTACGCTTTATTTCATGTCGCATTAATGCTAAACGTTCTTATCTGGGTGTTTCCTTCACGGGAGTGATATGCGCAACGATGCCGAGTATTACAACAGTTATGAAGGTTGATAGAAATCTATCATGCAAGGCATCTCAATTTTTATATGATTTAGAATATACAAAACGTTGTGCATCATTGCCATATCTTAGTGCTTCTTCTTTAAGCTTCAGTTATCAAAATTTAGATACTTTTTTGTGCTTAGGAATTTACGATACGGCATACAAGGTTTGTCAATATTCTAATTCTGTATTATTACCTCAATTTATGGAGGAATTTATTCCTAGTGGAAATTCAACCCAAGAAAGTAAATTTTGCAACAGTTTACAAGGATTCACATCATCATACGATAAAATAGATTTACTTTTGAAATCATTAGTTGAACATCTTAATAAACCGAATAAATGTTCGATGATATGTTTTGGCTTAGAAGATAAATTGAATCAAGTATGTGCACTATTTGCTTGGATTAAGAAAATTGATGACAAAGTGATGAAAAAGGCAAATGGAATGGAAAAAGATCCTGTAACATCTGATAAAGATAAACCATCTATAACTCAATCAAATGAGACAGTAAATAAAATGAGAATCGAAGCTGATAAGATACAAAAGAAAATAGAAACAATAGAAACAAATGAAAATAAACAGAATACAAATTCTGAGAATAATAATAATGATGATGTTGGAAAAGATAATTTAAACGTGTCTACAAATTTAGAACTTGAGAATGAGAAAGCAAAATCTGTCACTGAAAAATCAATTGAACACAAAAAGATATTACCAATATTGCCAGACATACAGACTCAGAAATCGATATCTCCAACCATTGAAGAAAATAGGAATATTATTGATAATAAAGCTGCAACTGATGAAATTACAAAATTTAAAGACACTCCTACAAATAGTAAATCTCAAGTTTCGTCGACAAACAATCTTGTAGGTAATGTGCCAAATAAAGATGCTGCAAATCCTGAAGAGGAAATTTACAAGGAGCAAAATACTGATGATTTAAAAACTAGTACGCTATCTGAAAATACACAAGACAATTATAACGCCGCAAATCAAGAAGATGTAGAAGGTATAGATATTCATAAATTTATATATAATTGTTTAATTTATTTTCCAAAATGTATGAAAAATTTGAACATGATTATATCTTTAATAAAAATTACAAGTACAAATTAGAATATATACATAAATTGTTGTAGAGAAACGTTAAATTTTATATGTGCATTTAACAAAATAAATATTTTGCTTTTTATTTTTATCTATTTTTATAAATAATGTATTTTAACCTCTTTATAGGGATTGATTTATTAAAGTCGAAAGTTTTTTTTAATTATACTTATTCAAAATATATTTATAATTATACAAAATGATAATTTAAAAAATATTTTAAAATCTTGCGGAAAAATAATTTACAAGTGGTTATTGTGTATTAAAATTAATTCGTAAGGATTTCAATGTATATATCATCGACGTATAGTATATGCATAAATAAGAGGTTATTATTTTATTTTTTTCGTAAGTATAATATGTATATAAATATTAATCTATTAAATCCATTTTTCAGATGTAGAGGATACAATTCAACAATCAACAAGTAAGAATGCTTCATAAAAATGTTTTTATATCGTTTTAATTATATTATACATAATGATTTATATATATATATTTTTTTTTTTTTTAAAGGGAATCAAAATGAAAATATACAAGAAGTCTTTGAACAGAAAAATGTACAGTATCCTAGTATAAGAACAGAGGATGGTCCTCATTTCTTTACTTATTTTACTGTGGTCACAGTGGCATGTATTGCTGGATATATAGGTTATCATAACAAGCAAAAGGTTAGTTTAATTTATGCACAATTTATTTCTGTATCATTTTTTCAACATGTTTCATGTATAAATCTTTTTATGTTTCAGATACTTGCTATTGTATTAGAGGGTCGAAGATCCAGAAATAATCGTGGTAGACGGCGACCAAGCACGGCTAATTACCGAAAATTGGATTGTACGCTTGAAGAAGCCGTTACATCGCAATGTAACGCTAACGTTACTCATGTCATTTATTAACGAGAGTAATATGTCACGAATTTTATAATATCTGTATTATAGTATTGCAAGTGTAATATATATTTTGTATTTAAGAGCATACTTTCTTAGCATACCATTTAATTTTTTAAATATTATTTTATATTTTAGCATCAATTTGTCACAAAAGCAAAATTTATAATATAATATACGATGATAAAATGTTTGATGAGGTATTAGAAAACATATAATTACATATTTTTGATTTAAATTATCAAATTAAATTTATAATACAACTTGCATTATTTAGGATTTAAAATATGAATTATTAATAGTGTTGAGAAATTTGAAAATTTTTTTGTTTATAATTTATATATTCTATAATATTACCAAGCACAAAACTGATATTTTGAAACTGATATTTTAAATAAAAAAATATTTTATTTATATTTTTATTTTATACTTTTCAATATATCATTCTTGGCTAGATTTACATAAAGTAGATTGTATTTGATAAGTTTCTCTAAGATGTCGTATCTAATTTAGTTTTACGGCAGTATTTAGAAATATATATTATATATAATACCTTTCAAAAAATTATATTTTTAGCTGCCATTATAAACAGAAATTGATTTAATTTGGGTCAGTTTAGTTATTTTAAAATAAAATAGGTAGAGAATAATGTAGAGTCATTTACGTGTAATTATGATGTACTAGTTTCGGAGAGGAACACGCCTTTTGAACACCGTGAAAACATTTGTGATGTGTTTTAAGAAAACGCTACGACGATTCTAGCTTGCAAGAGATAAATTCGTAAAATTTAAACTATATGATTTTAATTTTGAAAATTAGTCATACTTTGGTTGGTTTTCTAGCATTAATGATTCATTATACGCAACTTATTAAACACCAATTTACGAATTTCAACACAAGAAGTTGCTAAACGTGAACAGATCGTTTTTTAATAAAATTACTTGGTCCATTTTTCTATTACGAAACTTATTAAAATTTTTTTATTTACTTAATATACATAATATAAAAAATTTTATTAATTTTTTGCACGTATGTATATAATATATATATGCATATTTTGAATTTATCAATTTATCACAATATTTATATTAAGTCTATATAGTATGCCTAAATATAACTAGTTTTTTGCACAAATCACTATATAATTGAATATTCTTTTAATTATAATTATTTATTAATTAGATGAGATGTATATAATATGGTTCTAAATTTTTGTTTAATAGGTAAATAGCAATATTAATCTATGTGATATTTATTTACCTACTTGTAGCATTCATCAGTTTATAATATTTATTGATATTATCAATTACAGCATCAAAGCTTAAAAAATTATAAACTATTTTGTAATGTGTTATATTTATTTAATTATCAAATATTTTCCTTAATTTATCTTTAAAACAGTAAAATTTGAATGGTTTCATGAACCTTAATCAAATGATATATGATACACATTAAAACAGATTCAATCGTTTTGGCACAAATAGCAAATTTGAAAAGTTATATCTTTGATATTTTGATATTACTGAAACACACATTAAAATAATTGTACGCCAAAAAAACTTATTAATTTGCCTTAATAGTTCAGTACCGTCCGAATATAGAAAAAAATGCATAAACTTTATATTCTATTTTTAAATTTAAATATATATGAAATAATAATGTCTATAATAAATATCTTTTCATTAAATATTGTTAAATGCAATTATCGTTGCAGAAAAATATGTTTTAAGAAAAAGTAATCTATATATCGATACAGCTAATATAAATTTTATAAAGTATTGTAACAGAACATATACATATATGAAAATATCCGATTATATGCTCAAAATATTAGAAAATTTGAATAAACTTGTATTATGTTTTTGTTTTCTTGTCCTTTTTTATTTTTAATATCATCTTATGTATTGTACAAATAACATGCTTGGAAGATATATATATATACATGTATATATAAGTAAACATTATAAAATAGCGATACTCGTTTTAGCGATCGCTATATTTTACATTTGACAAATGATTATTTAATATTTAAATACATAACTTTTAAATACACACTACAATTTACTGAAATAAATATATAATGCATAGCATATAATTTTTATTCTCTGAAATGTATGCTAAAATAATTACTTAGCTAAATTACCATAAATGATTTATGTAATATAAATATATTTTTTAATCTCTCTTATATTCTACAATATATAAAAAACCGTCCAGTTATCTCTAATTAAAATTTACTGCTAATATTGTAAGTTTTTACAATACAATTTATAAATAAATTAAAAATATGTACAGTAATATATATATATATATATATATATATATATATATATAAAATGAATAAAATAATGAACTAGATTTTTAAGTTAAAAAGCAGCTTTATATAGTGCACAATTACTATGCTTTTCTCACGCTAATTTCATTATTTTATATTTAATTTAAATTGCTTATCATCGGAATGAAATAATTATTTATATTAGATATGTAACATTGAATAACTGAATTGCAATGTAATATATGTAACTGTCTTTATAATTACTTTTTTTTACTATTTATACTCCTTTATATTATTTAATAATTTTATCATTTTGGTATTAATAATAATGTATTATGATCAATTTTATAATTTATATTACATTTTAAAATGCATAAAATAAATGTAAACATTAGTTATGTAAAACAGCGGCAAAGTGCATACAAAACTCGATTTAGTAAAATAAAAATAATTTACTGTTAAAAGTGTCGTTTTTTGCAAATCAATTGTTAATACATTACAATTAATAAATGCTGAGAAAGAGTGTATATTTTTATTTTCTTTAAATTATATTAAAAATAGCTTTCTTGTGCAATTCTTATATAAATATAAAAATTATTTGGAAATAATTTGTTAAAGAATTTATTATTAAAAAAATAAAATATTTTCTGAAATATTTTTTACATGCATATTGAAATAAAAAAATATGTTCTAATTTCTCTTTCTCTCAGATCGGTTATAGTAAGATTGAGATATACGTGAGACATGTTTCATTTAATCAACGCAATCGACTGTTTCACCAAACGATCGAGTGTTATCGCGAACGCAATAAAAATAATTAAATGGATAATAAAATAAAATTGAAAATAATTTACCGGGAACTGTTGGCGACATAGAAAAAAAATTATTATTACTAACAGGATTGTACTAATATAATATGAAATGCTCATATATGCCTATATTGATAATAAGTTTTTTGTTTTTTAAATTGTATGTATATCGAATAAGATGGCGATTTTACTCTGTAAATAAAGTGATTATAAATATATAGCATTTGTTTTAATTATTAATGAGTAACAAGTTTTTTGTGAAACTAGACAACACAGACGCGCGCTTTGCGTGCAAAAATGTGAATCCCTTCCATCAGATTAATATATTCTACACATCTGACACACTGCGCGGCTCACGCGAGACTGATTCTCGCGCGGGGTATTGCAAGCGCGGGCCCGATGATCACATGACCAGTGATCACGTGACCACTGGTCATGTGGCCACTAGTCATGTGACCATCGGGCCCGCGCTCGGTATACCCCGCACGAGAATCAGTCTCGCGCGAGTCGCGCACCGTAATGGATGTATGGGGTGTGGAATCTCGCACGAGTCTAATGAAAGCGTAGATATTTAATCACAAAATATTCTTGTACAAAATTTTAGTTTTTATTCATATCTTCTGTAAAAGATTTAAATATTGAATTTTTATGCGTTGCATAATTAATTAATATATTTTTATGCATTGATTGCAATAATAATTTTTGTATGTATGCGTCACAATTTTTGAGATTTTATTATCAAAGAATACAATATAACTTCGCTTTGAGTGCGTAATTAAATTAGGTTAGATTAAACAAAATGATATACTATATACAATATATATATATATATATATATATATATATACACACATATTTACGTAAATTTAGTATTTATAAGAAAATTGTACCCTGACGAAAATGTACCCCAACGAAAATATACCCCGACAAAAATGTACCCCGACAAACGAACTCCGACAGAGGAATCCTGAAATTCGGCGAATATCTATTATGTACATGTACATAATTTTAATTAGTCGATCTTCTATTATGTTCATAATTTTGATTCGCCGAATCTTCATCATGTACATAATTTTAATTTGCTGTGTTTAGATTATGTACTTAATTTTGATTCCCGAATTTCCATTATGTACATAATTTTAATTCGCCAAATTTCTATTTTCTTTTCTAATTGAGAAACTGTAGTCAAAACCACAATCACAAAATTAATCAACATTCTTATTTAATAACTATCACTACACTATCTCTTCGATATACATACAACTGTCAAAATATGCAATGACAGCCGCTCACAAAGTAAACGCAATGACAGAACCAAACGGCATCGCGGAAAAGAGGCAACAATACATTTCAAGACTTTTGAGAGGCCTTCGATACATTCGAGTGTATCGCGATATATTCGAGAATTGACTTAACATGCCTTTCTTATATAAGGGATTTTCAATTTATGTGAATATGCTCTACAGAATATTTATATTTTTAAGAGATGATCAAAATAAATAAAGTTTAGTATATATTGTATATTAAATTTTACGTTTATTTCCATTAATATTCGTTGCACGAAGCCTATCTATCCTTGCAGTAAATACCGTCGTTGGAGTGATATTTTATCCAGTTCAGATAATCCGTGTTCTTCACATATACACCAGGTATCCCGGGATCCGCGCATCCAATACCCCAAGAGACTATCCCTGTTGGAATGATGGAGAAGATAATCTCACGTGAATTAATTAAATCCTGTGACATAATTTATGGATAGACGTAATCTCATGAGATAATTTTTTTTCAATAAAATCAATATTCAATTTTAAAAGTATGATAGATATAATTTATGTACATTAAAGAGAAACTCTGCATTTCAATATTATGCATAATTATATTATACATTTGCTGCATTAGAAAAAAATGTAGATAATTGTATACATAATATATATACTTATATATAATTTTGTGTAAGTGTTTTAAAAATAATGTTTATAATTTTTGTCTTTGTTTAGATGGAAAATATATAAAATTGATGATATTCTTACCAATTACTTCATATTTTCCGTTTGTTCTTTCGTATAGAAGAGGTCCACCGCTATCACCCTAACAGTTCAAAGTTATTATTAAATCATTGTAATGCAATATATATGTAATATGTATTTATCAAAAGAATAATATATATAGTTTAATAATTTGATGAATATGCAATAAAACAAAACTCTCAGGAAGTTAATTTCATTAATAATGTATGTGTAAAAGAATTATGTATGACAGATATAATATTATATTTCGATCTCCCACACAGAATACATATACATAATTAAATTGATTATGATGTCGAATAATACCTGACACGCATCAGTATCGTCATTGTAAGCACACATCATTGATTCCGTGAGGTGATCTCCAAATGAAGTATTGCTACATGTGGCCCAGGACATCACTTTTAAGGTAGCTTCACGCAGATATCTGGATGTAGCTCCTTCTTTTTTGACACGTCCCCATCCAGCCACTTTAACATGGTGTCCCGTGTAATCGGATTCTATCATTGAATATTTAATTGAATTACTTTTTTTTATATATTTGTTAGAAATTTCAGAAACTAACTTTTACTCGGGAGACATGCAGGTGTCACATTTTCATTTATTTTAACTGGATGTTCTAACCGTATCAGGGCAATATCATTTGTATCGTGGAGATCGTCACTTTCAAAATCTTCGTGTAAGACTACTTTATCGATTTCAGCTATATATCCCTCGTTTCGATTTTCAATATCGTGCATCCCTACGCCGATTGAGAGATCGGTAGATTGAACCCTACGCAACTCGCAGGAAAACACAAGAATTAGAGTATATTTTTTGCAATTATTTTGTAAGATTATAGTTTATATAATGTATCATATGATTGTCTTATTATATAACTGTATAACAAATAATAATTTATTTAATAAAAATTGTTAAAATCTTTTGCTCTAGCAATATCATTATATAAACGTTTTATACTGAGAAAGCTGATATTAAAATTATAAATTAAAATTTTATTTCATATAACGTTATTTGTTTCGGTCTATTATTTTTCTATATACTAAAATATACTTCTATAGTAATTATTTAACAGCATCACAAAACAGTTATTGATAGAAATATCTGCTGCATATTAGCCTTTCGAGAACTTAATAATGATGTCTTTGACTTTTTCATACATATGGAAAAGCAAATAAGATACCACTTAACACAATGTCCAGCAGTTAACACATATCGATCATTAATCAATGTGCCTCCACAATGAAGAATTTTTTTGTTGAAAATTGCCACAACCCAAGGAAATATGTGCGGAATTGTTATTTTTCCACCGACAATGCGATTTGATATTCCTCCCGTTACTCCACATTCTATTGTAAACAGATTAATAAATAAATTTTTATATATATGTATATTATAAATGTGTACAATATTATATAAAGCGTATATCGTACATTTTTTACTATGCATATTCTATAACATTTTTTAAGCAAATTTAATTGTAAACTTTATTGTTATTTTATTTTTGACATACGATTTTTTATTTGTTTATATTATTATCATTATAAAGTTCAATTAATATAGAATTAAATGGAAATTGAATGGAAAATGCTTGCTGAGCAAGGTAACATAAAGCGCTTCAGGATAACAGCAATTTAAAGTTAGTGTCTATTTGCTTTTCGTGCAAATGAGAGCTTCGTTGGACTATTACATATGCGTGTACTACTTGCATAATTTTCGATCGTTACCACAATTCTGATTTACTCGTAGACGTAGCTGACGTTTCCACGCGCGTGCCGCCTGAAAATGAGCACAATGTAATTATTCGACAAATCGTGAATTATCAGCCGTTTCGATTCGTCCTCGTGATAATTTCACTTAATTACTCTCTCAACGAACGTCTAGGATCAGAAGGACACCAATCGCGGCCGTCAAAATTAAATGGGTTTCATGCTGCGCGACTCTTGCGACATTTCATCTGCTGAAATCGACGCGAAACTACTGAATGCAATTCAGAGAACACTCTGTTCTATATTAATCTACAAATAAAAACGGCAATCAATTTCAGTGTCCAACCATCGTCGCAAGCGTATCACCTCGTCGGCGTTTCATATCGCAAAGAACGTGTACTCATAAATCGCCATTCTTATTAACGTTTGGCACATCGGATGACTAATTCTATCGAATGCTCGTACAACATGATGAAATATACTGCAATCTATATAATTTGACTTAATCATAAAATGGAGATATTGGACATAAATGCTATATACATATATTCTAGAAAATGAAATATTTACTCTCGTTTTCTTTAATAACAATAAACATTTTATATATCTGTAAAAAAATTTCTTTACAATAAAATTTTTGCAAAATTGGGAGGAAATATTATCCTGCATTTATTTATAATAGTTTTGTAATTTAATTTTTGATGTAAAAACTCAATATCTTTAGAGTTTTATTTAGACTTCAAATGTCATTGTCTTGAAGAAATTCTTTCGAGATTTTACGGATCATCGGTTTTTCTAATTCTTGAAAGTGTTATAAATTATTCGCAGAAAGGTGGAAAGGCGAGCGAGTGTGTGTTAGAATGATATATGGGCGATAAATTCTTATAAGAACTTTCTATAACAATTATGCTTGTGGCCAAAGTCAGTCTAAGAAGGAAAAAAGCGTGAGATTTGGAAATCGGCATAAAAAAGATCAGAGAAAATAATTGCTTTTTATATGACATTTAAATATGCAATGAATGAGATAAAGATAAGAATTATTTTATTAATAATTGCAGGATAATTTTACGCAAAATAAATAAAATTACAATCTAAACAACATTATTGCCTATATAATTTTTAACATTTCTTGAGCTTAGAGACAAGTAAATATTTATCGGTGAGTTATCATTTTTTCGCCTCGTCGCAAATATGACGTGCAACGGAATCTAGGTTCTGTAGATACCGTATCATAGACATTATCATGCATAGTCAGGAATTTTACGAGAATGGTTTATGTACTATAAAGAACGCGGTCAACGAAAATAGTATAAGTTTATGTAGTATACCAGCTGATAAACATTTGACGTATCGTGAGAAATTTGTGAATGTCTATGAATAAATGTTGAGAATTTTACAAGAATATTTGCGTGAGAATTTTATTTTCTGCATTTGCAAATGACGTTTGCTTATTTATTTATTACCCTCTTCTTATCAATAAATGTTGTAGATAATGTATATAAAATTATATGTGATTCAAAAATTTAACTATATATTAGCTGTATTAATTCCAACAGTATTTAGAATCGTGTTTTGTCATTTGCAATATCCATGGAACCATTCGCGTAACATCCGTAAAGAAATCTGGATAATTAACGTCGGCGCACAGTATTCCATTTGAAGTAATTCCTATAAAATAAATTTAATAAAATTCCATATGTACATACATAGATAATTATTGAATTATTATTTATATTATAACTCACCTATTAAGCTGTATTTATAATTGTCGTTCAATATTTGGAGAGGACCACCGCTATCACCCTGAATTATATATGATCAATTATGCTTACTAAATTAGTTATTAATTATCATAATTAATGTACACAAACATTAAATTTTGATAAATATGTATTATATGTCCTGTATAAATTCAAAATTAAAATACCTATATTTCAACACACATATATACGTATACTTTCTTTAAAAGTAAAGGTATAAAAAATAAGATTAACTTACAATTAGTATCTCATAAATCTTTATAAATAAGAAAAAATTATATATTGTTATAATATTTTCATGTATTACAATTTAATAATAAAAATTAGAAGAATTATTAAATTCCACGGCGCTCATAAAGAACTATATAAAGAATTAAAAGATTATCTGTATCTTTAGAAATATCTTATATACTCTAAAAATGTATGTATTGTAGATGTACTTTTTAGACTTTTTATTGGAGATTTTAACTTAAGATGTTTATATAAAAAAGTAATAGATAACGTGTAAAAAAATGTTACAATTAATTAAATACCCCGCAAGTACCGCGTGGTGATGCTTTATATCCTGCGCAAATTAAAGTTGAGATATCAGTAGGACATTCCGATTTTTTAAATAATGTTAAATCCACTGTTCGCAAACCACATCCTTTATTAAATAAAGAATCGGTTTCAGAAAATCCCCAGCCAAGTGCAGATACGGATTGTTCTTTAAATTGATAGACATCAAGTCCTATACAAAAAAAAAGTTATAGGCAATTATTAATCATTTTATTTAGTTGTAAATTTCATTTTTTGCAGATACGCATGTATGTATATTAATATATGCTATATATGTATAATAACAAAGTAATTACCAGGTTTTGGTAAGCAAATTGGTTTAACGAATTTGTTAAAGGTAATTCGCATACTTAGTTTAATCAGCATAATATCGGCAAAATTTGTTTGGCTGTCATATTTTGGATGTGGAAAAATGTTCTCGACAGAAAAAATTGTACTTTTCGCATCCCACTTGCATGAATCATGAGCACCGACAGATACTTTCAGATCATCTTTATTAAAACTATAAAATACAAATAAAGTATAAGTAGCTTAACGTATTTTATATATAAATTTTAGACAAATTCTGCAAATATAATTTATCGATGGAAAAAATTTTATTATTTAAATTACATGTATTTAGATACAAATTTATTATAAAAAACAATGCTATTTTCACATATACTAATAATTATTATTCAGTATGTATATACCCATAAACAATGCAATGAGCTGCTGTTATCACGTAATGATCATTTATAATTGAAGCTCCACAAATTACTCGTGATCTATTGACGCTTATAATACCAGCCATCCAAGGATATTCATTTTCAAAAACTTCTCGTCCTCCAAGTATTCTGGATAACGGTAAAAATATATTTTTCTTTCCGCATTCTAAAGGATAATATAATAATCATATAAATAACATTTTTATAAAAATTTAATTGCATTTACTTATTTTTATAGCCTATAACTTTTCCTATTAAAATTTTTTTAAGTATATAAATCACAAAATATATTTCAAAGAGATTATTTATCATAATTCTTATAGAAAGTACATTCATTTTGATTCTTATAGAGATAGAAATGCTCTCTATCAACATAGGAACTTTTATAAGAAATAAAAAAATTTTTTATCATTATCTTCTCTTATTATATGTGAAATTATGAAATTATTCATGATAAACTTCACCACAATATCCATAATCAAGATGTTCGTATGACGCATCCGTATGCCGATTCACTCGTTTATACCAGAATAATGTATTTGTATATTTAATTATTAAACACAACAAACTAATTAAAATAAAATACTGCATATGTAACACTAAAAGAAGACTAGTTACTTTTACACAAAGAGGAGTCTTGCTGAACTGACATGTGTGCTACACTTAAATGCGTGCTCTGTAAATATTTTAATGCCTATAAATTTTTAAATATGTATGAGTACATTGTAAACTGCGGACGTGGTTTAACCCACTAATAATTCTTAGATAAGATAACATATAAGGTTCACCAACCGTTTCCTGTAAAATGTAATAAATTGTTTAAGTATACTTGATATTTGAATATTATAAAATATTATATACTTACGATTTGACTTTTAGATTATTCTAAATGAAGATGTTTAAACAAATATGATGCAATTTTTTAGATTTTGTAATACAGTAAAATATAATTACATCGATAATAAGCACAATACATGTTAATATACAATATAATATTTTTATTATATATTTTATGTATATTTTATACATATATATAGATATGTTTATATAATAATAATAAAATATATATACGTATATATTCATTTAAAGTTACAATTAGTTTTTGTTCGATGTACTTTAATATAAAAATAATTTCAAATACTTTTCCTAAAATCTAAATTATAGTAATAAAAATATAGCAATTATAAGTATCATTATCATTTAAGTATTATATGATTTATATGATTATATTTTCATATTTGCAGTATCAAAAAAGTTGCATTATTTGGTACAATAGCATGCATCCTTAGTTTGCTGCAATATCCAATCGAGCTGTGGACCAATTTTCGTAAAGATAGTTGGTCTAACAACATTATCACATTTATTCACGCTTGGAATAATACCTGCAACACATTTATAATACACATTTTATTGGCAATATTTTTTTTCAGCAATTTTTTAAGAATTAATATTTGACATACATATGTAATTTATAAAATATGTTTATATCCGTATAATCAAGCGCATGGCTAAGGCTACATATAAATTTAGATTCGTAAGGTAACTTTATATATTTGTAATATTTTTATCAAGTTATTTTTATTTCTTTGACAAATGGTTATACCTACCAATAAGATCATAAATTCCAGCATATGATCGATATTGGACAGAAGATCCGGTATCATTCTACAAATCGATATAACATTATTTTTTTATAATATATATAGTCAAATTTGTAAAATGTTTTTATTATAATGAATTAATTTTAATATAATATAAATTATTTATAAGCTGAAAAACCATAATTTGCGAATCACCTTTCATGGGCAGATAGAACGTGTTAAACTGAATAGAAAAGTCCTGTATCATTGTGTGTGTGTGTGTGTGTGTGTGTGTGTGTGCGCGATATTTGCAATAATTATTGAGTTATTAACTAAAATATCTAAACGAATGAGCGGGTAGAAAGCGGTAGGCCGGACTCGGTGTGCATGTCGGATGACTTATTTGTTATATGCCGCTTAGTATCAAAAGTATCATCTTACTTTTCGGCGCCACTACATTGGTCGCCGCTCGCTGCATGACACCGTCTCTTGATCAAATAATGCTTTCTACCTACTTATTCGTTTAGATATTTTAATAAATAACTCAATAATTATTGCGAATATCGCAAAATGATACATGAATTTTCTATTCAGTTTAACACGCTCTATTTGCCCATGAAAGGTGATTTGCGAATTATGGGACACCCTATATTGTTATATAACGCGTTTATTCAATAGATTCAAATAATTGAAATAAATTTGTAATAAAATATATTTAATTTACCTCGCACACTAAAGAACTTGTACCCACAACACCGATGCATCCATAATCATCATTGAAATTTTGATTCGCTCCTGATTTTATGCACTCGTTATATCCTAGAATAGGAAGTCCTAATTTTCGTGGTTGACATGTCCGAGTGTCAATATTATCTTCCGATTTGCTTGTAGTCCAGCCTACCAAAGTTCCAACTTGGCCAAGATAAGTTGATCCTATATACAGGGAACAGGAAAAAAGATTTAGATATATACGATTTATCATAAAAATTTGTGAAAAAATAAGTAAAAAATTTAATGTACATATATACATATTTCATTTTTTAGATAAATTTTTATAACATAAATCATGAGACAGAACAAACCTGGATTGGGTAGACATACTGGTGATATTCTTTTTTCAAATTTAGTTGGCCGACTCAAACGAAGTAAAGCTAAATCGTGAGTATGTAAATCCGGATTGAATTCTGGATGCAAAATTATAGATTCAACGCTAACATTTGTTGATGAAATATCTAAGGTGCATCTATCATATTCTCCCAAGGATACTTTTACTTCAGGTGTCGTTGCTCTATTGAAATAAATATTAATTATGTATAAATTGTTCCAAAATTATTCTGTTTTGCTATTACTGTTTGATATTATTTTGCATAAAAAGAGATAAGCAATTTGCTTTTGCTATGACAATTAAAAATAATAATAAGGATTTTATCTGTACAAACCCAACTATTTGACTAGCTGCTGTTATGACATAACGATCATTTATCAATACTCCACTAATTAATTCGGATTTTACGTGAACATTTGCAAGCCAGGGAAATTCATGTGATTCTGTATATTCACCACCCAATAACCGTGTTGCCTTACGATTTGATCGGCCGCATACTGCAAGTATAAGATATCAAATTGAGAATTTCCAATTTGCACATTTTTTTACATAAAATTTATTGCTTTCTGGCTTCAATTTATGTTATAATTAACTACTTTATTCTTCATAAAATATTTATGAGAGTTACTCACAGCAGGCACCACAAGTTCTGAGTCTTCCAAAAAGTAAATCCAAAACACTGCGTTCATGTCTGGGTATAATTTGATCATCGACCTAGTCAACAAATGCATTTGCGAGTTTTCATATATTTATAAGATTTATTTGATGTCATTATCACAATAATTTTTCGCCGAAAAGACGAGAAATAAAAAAAAGTTACGTATAATAAAAAACATTGTAATCATTAGAGACTAAGCTAGAATAGAGAGATAAAAAGATATTTTTGATATTTGTCACAAATGTCAAAATGTATACAGTTTATAAAAATGTATAGAGAAATCGTGAGAATAAATTATTATAATAAAATTTAATGTAGTAAGACATAGAGATACTTACGGAACGGAGAGAAGGAACAATGATGCGTTTGTTACAATAGGTTGTTCCGAAATTCACCATAAAAATACAAACGAGATATCTGACATAGTCTTGCAGCTTCATGACTTTTCTGTCGGTAGTCGAAGCGATACTGTTCTTCGCTCAAGCAACTGGTTTGTGTCGTATAGCGGGATTATCATTGCCCGCATCCCAGGATATCTTCGAGAATGTAAAAAGTGAGCATCCCACATATTCCTTATGCTTGCAATTAAATTTGTATTTGACTTTTATCATTGTATTTGTATGTGTGTGTTTATATATTTCGCTCTTTATATTTTATTTTGGCTTAAAGCCGGTTAGAGTAACCGGTCCGCTGATACCGTTATGTTTTCCGATATTGTGACTAGTGTGTCAATTAATATCATCAAAATTTGCTTGATAATTTTGATATTTTATAGAAATAAATTCTAAGCATGTTAATACAAAACTTTATATTTTACATTAATTTTTATATATATGGCATATGATTTAATTAAAATTAATTAAAAGTTATTTTTTAATTAAGTTATTGTGTACTTCTATTAAAATTTATGATTACTTTAATTACATATCTATAATATTGTAAAATATGCTTCTCTTGAAAATAAGAATATTTGAAATTTCAAGTATACATAATGGATATTATAAAAATATTTATTTAAAATTAATAAAATTTTAATTAAATAATTTAAAAATCGAAATACAGAATAAAAAATCACAGAATGTATATATGTATAATAAATGTTATATTTTATAAAAAAAAATATATGTAAATGCATTTTAAAGTAATTTTTTTATTCAAATTTTTATTACCTTTCCATATAAAGTATTTTAATAATATAAACATTGTTCACAAAAGATATAAAAACTAGCAGCTTAAATATACAATCTCAATCTCACTATATTTAATTTCCTTGGTAGCAAACATGCAATATTTTAGCCTTTGGCTATATTTGAGCAATAATAAAATAATTAATTATATAGTATAATAATATTTCCACAAACTTTTTTGGCAATATAATTAATATTGACATTTCATAATTAACATTGATAAGAATAAGATTTCTCTCAATAATACATTGATTGACTATATCGCTTAATAAATACTAGTTGTGACAGAATATGACAACAAATCGAATGGAGAGAAAATAAAAAAATAATATTACACGAATGTTCAGAGTATTTTAAGTTTGTCAGTTTCAAGTCTGACACATTATATTCAAAATTGTCAGGTATATAAATTATGCATAAAAAATACTATCAACGAGATATCATTTTCGTCCTGAGAATATAGCACAAGTTTAAAGAACGTACAATATAGTATGCAAAAATCCTTTTCTTCGCTTTTCATCGTATCTGTTAAGAAGCAATGAGTAATCACATTCAATTGTGCTCACAGAAACAGCCATCTATTGAATTTTTCAAAATCCAATCCATGTATCGTGTGACTCTAGTATATACACCTGGATATCCAGGTCGTGCACATCCATTACCCCACGATACAACGCCGATGAGTTCATATTTCTTGTCTTCGCGTTCCGCTACAAGGGGTCCACCGCTGTCTCCCTATAATGTAAAAGAACGTCGCACAATTATCTGACAATGACACAATATGATAAATTATAGTTAATTACATGTTTATTGCATATGTTAATCTTATATATTAATTATACATTGTAAGATATACTTTTCTATGTGTATCTTTCGATGTTTTCTTTTTTATATTTTTTTTCATTAGCAATTCCATTAGTCATGTATTATAACGATATACCTGACATGAGTCCTTCTGTCCTTCTAGATAACCCGCGCATAGCATATTGTCTGAGATCATTCGAGGACTATAGCTTGTATTGCGACAAGTCTGAAGACTCATGACTGGAACTTCGACTTCTTGGAGAAGACAGGACGGTTTGCCATCTTCTTTCAATGTGCCCCAACCTGACGCGATTGCATTTACTCCTACGTAGTCTTTATCTGTAATGAGGTAAGGTAATTCTGCCTTAGATACTATAATAAATAATTAATTGCACATGATGATATGATGACTAAGTAATACACACACAACAATCTTATATAAATAACATTGCAGCTTATAAAATATTTTTTAAATATAATAGTTAATTAATTTATTTAATTTGATAATATAATTACATGAGTAAATATAATTGAAGTTCTAATAAAAAATATATTCTTTTTATTAAAAATACAAATTATTATGAAAACCATTAAAAAAAAAGCTAAGAAATTTTTGAATATGAATTTATTATATAATTAATTAATATATGTTTTTGCAGCATTAAATAGCGCACTTATAAATGCACAATGTCACCGCACGTTAACAAATTCAAGAAATACGCGTGCATTCAAAATGCAAATTTAAGGCCTCGATTTCAAACAGAAATCTTTATTATTACGCAGTTATACTACGATGCATTACAGCCGAGAGAGTAGGTGCCCGTATACTAACTAATTTATGACTCGGTTATCGCGTAATCGTCGCATAATAAACATGACGGCTAGACGTGGATCGTGTGTATTATTGTTCAATATTACGCTCGATTATGAAAAACCGCTTTCGTTAAAATTAACAATTGCGGATACGCTAATTTAGCATTGACCAAGCATGAAATTATGAGTACATGTCGAAGGTAGATACCGATAACGATACGATTCGACATATAAGATTATGGCTATAACAGACGCGTGTCTTCATAAATTATATGTTGTAATAAAGTTACAAAAAATGTAAAAATTATTAAATACATTAATATATATTGAATATATATTGAGATTTGTTTAATGTCTTTGAGAAAAAAATTATTTAGTTTTTTTAATGAATTGATTATGAAATTTATAACAATATTTTTATTAGATAAATCTAGTTATTTTATCGAACGATTATATATAATAAATATATATATATATATATATATTTATTTATATAAAAAATATTATGCTTACCCAACAATGACGGCAGGCATATCGGCCGTATTGTGTCACTTAATGGTACTCTCTCATTAAGGCGAAGTAGTGCGATGTCATTATCGAAATTCAGAAAACTAAAGTCACCAGTCAAAATACGTACGACGTATCTGGTTTCTGTTGGCTTTTCGAGACATCTGTCATGTTCTCCGAAAGTGACTTTGATCATGAACCACATGAATCTGAAAATAAGACTAGAACAACTGATCACATTCGGCAAATGAGATTGCGATAAAAGAATTCGTTCAAAATAGATGTGGTTAAGAAAAATTTTTATTTTAATTTAATTTTTTACAAATTTTTTCAAGAAATTTGCTATAATATTAATATGTATGATTTAATAAAAGTTTTATTACTAAGGCATATATTTGATATTTTTTCTTATTAAATCATTAAAGAGATATTTCCTACTTTTATGATTTATGTTGTTTAACTAAGCAAAGTAAATTGATATGCGAATAGCAAAATTTTGAGCAAATTGTAATCGTTAAGAGTAGATAATGTAGCAGTTTGCTTCAGGATAGAGAGGCTAACAGTATTAACTTTTTCTTCTAGCATGACATTAATTGAGGATGCAAATATGAAGTTCGACCTGTTTACGCATCGAGTAGATATGAATCCAATTTAATATAGCAATTTTATACAGTTATACTAATATATAGTTATACTAATATATATAGAAGTGCTTAGCTTCATAATAATTTTGTTTCGTGTATGCAAAAAAATAAATATATCTTTATTGTAAATAATATTACATTCAAATAATAAAAATGTATATATTTTATTACTTCTATTATATTATTAATTTTATGTTGAAACTTTTATTAGAAATACTTAAAAAATACAGAAAATATTTAATCATTATAAGATTTTTAAGATAAAAATAATACCTTTATACATATAAAAATAGCTAGATTTTAATATTAATTTTACTTTACCACCAAATATACGCAAAGTTATGAATTAATTTATAAATCATACCTACCCCTTCACGCAATGCGCAGCTGAAAGGACGTAGCGATCATTTATTAGTGTACCGCCGCAGTAAAACTTATTTAGGTACGATAATCTAACTATCCATGGAAATTCATTCATACTCGTTGTTTGACCGCCGACTATACGACTTTCTTCATTTCGTAGTCCACAACCTAAATTGTATAATATATTTTATTTATATGTTTTCTTAAAGCTATATTGTTAAAGAAATTCAACAGAAAATTATAGTTACTCACTACAATAGCAAGGAGAAGGTGTATTATTAGTTTGAGGTGGCTTATTACCAAAAATTCCAAAGAAATTTTTCACTTTGTCGCTTAACACTCCGGCCTAAAATCGAAAATTATTATAATACAATAAGTTTTTATTTATAGATTAATTTTTAAAGAATAATAAAATAATAATGAATATCAAAATTTTATGAAGAAATTATAGTAATATACAATATTTATCAATATTCCGCTCGTATAAAATTTCAAATTAATAAACGTGACTATTAGGCCAACCAAACGAGCAAAACAAATTCCGAGTGTAAGATTAATCTTGTTTTTTATTATATTTAAAAATCTAATGTAAACGTTTCGATCGTACTTGGTCTTGTTCAATATAAAAACTAAATAAATACAAAGAATGACATTAATGTTTTATATTTGCAAAATTAATTTTATTTTTTTTAATTATCTGTTACGTCATTCAACTTATATCTATCTTTGTATTTATTTTTCATATTGCATGGAAAAAGACCGAGTACGGTCGAAACGTTTACATTAGATTTTTAAATATAATAAGAACAAAATTAATCTTACACCCAGAATTTGTTTTGCTCGTTTGATTGGCCTAATAGTCACGTTTTATAATAATATATTTTTAATTTTGTAATAGAGTTATACATATTTATAATTGTCTTGTATATACAATTTTCTTCAATTTTAATAAAAATTGTTTATCTTATTAAAGCTGTTTAAGACCTGCATACTTGCATTTCGTTAAAAAATAAGATTTTAAGTTTGCATTAAATCAAAATTAAGACTGCTTTTCAAAATTATATTATATTTAATACTGTTTTATTGCAGATTTTTTATTTAAAGTTTCTTAATACTTTGTAAAAGGAACGTAATATCATGCAAAAGAATTAATAATAAATTTAAAAAAATTACAAAAGAAAAGAAATCTGTCTTACCTGGCATTTTTCTATCGTCAAAAGCAGAATGAATAGTAAACCTAGATAGCACAGAAATTTCATGTTCTGCGACCTGATTGAACTCTTCATGTGAGTCAATATAACTTGCACCGACAATTGCACACTTTTAATATTCACTTTACAAATTTGGATCTTCGTAGAGATATTTTTTGGGAAGAGTTGCCACTCTTGGGCACCGTCAGGAACGAATCATGGACATGTCCCTGACTAAGAGCGAATATCATCAGCGTCCTACGTCGACTGTGGAGGACTGAGGTCGAAGAGGTAATTGCTATTCCGGAAGGGAAGGCGGGCGCAGCCAGTCGGCCGATACCTGACCAGTTCACGTTCATGTTCAGGGTCGAATCACGGATGACTGTTATTGACCGTCATCACGGCCACGACGGCATTTTATCGATTATCAGCTCAAAGTTGTTTCGAAGATGTGAACTACGTTTCGATAAATTTTGATATTAATAGAGGTAACATCTTTTTGTTTTTCTATTTGATATAATGCTTCTAATAAGGAAAATATATATATTAATTATTTTTAAAATTTTTATATTTACTTGTAGAAGTTTGTGATGTAAAAGCATATGGATTTTAAAATAATTATATTAATTATTTGATTAATTATTTCTTTCTTCTGGTACAAAATTTATTTCTTTAGTAGTTAAGTAAATGTTAAATAAAGACCAATATTGATATCAAGTATAAAGTATCTTTTAAAACAATTATTTATATATGGATTTAATTAATTTAATTACAATTTTCGACGCGCCAGTAAAAATGCAAACAAAAGAGACTTGCAGAAGAGGATGTTATATTTTTATTTATATTTTCATTATATGCACATACGCATTTTGTGCGTCATCCGATACCGTTCGATAGGTATTTCAATCGGGAACGATATACGTATTAATGATGTCTTTCGTCGAGTTTTGGCAAAAGAAAGGTGGTCCTATTAGTATACAAATTAAACTCCGGTATTTCCACTTTCGACTAAAATTTATAACGAAATTTATTTGATTGCTATCGTATCCAATGTCGTACTATTTCTTAGAACTAGTTTCAGTTAAAAGATCAGGTTTTGCAACTGCGTCATCGTTATTATTGGCCATCGATTTCATATTTTTACAAAGAATATAAGAATCCATTTTAAAAAGAATATAAGAAGCCATTTATACGATTTTGAACTGTCTTTATTTATTATTAATATTATTGTAAAATAGACTGATAACATATGATTTATAATTAAGAAATTAAAAATATAATAATTAAGAAAATATTGTTTTAGTTTAGTAAATAATATGTATAAAACATAACCATTTTGATTTTAAAACATACATTTTGAATTTTATTTCTTATTAAATTTAGCTCAATAACTTATTAAGCATAAGTGATAAGTTTTAATGAGTCACATATCTATGTAAAATATATTAATAAGATATATCTTATATTTGACTGATACATATATATATACACGTGTATGTGTAATTTTGATTATTACCACTGTTTATCCATAAATGTCATGCACGCTCTTCGAACTATTAATTAACATTTATTTGACTATTCAAACAAATTATAACAAACTTTTGCATTCGAAATTTATATTATCATTGTACGACATATGTTATATATAATACACATGTATTATATATATTACATAACAGTTATAAAGTATGACCAGCGTAAATTTCGCTACTATGTACATACAAGGTTACATGTGCGAAGATACACGTGAAGTACATTTGCATGCGTCAACTTTAGCCCGGTTCGACAGTGGACCGTTACCGGTTGCTGATTATTCCGGAAACGTTCGACCGCTATTCATACGATTGGAAATGCGTGATAGAGACGTGTAAAGCGAGCTAAGTGTAGTTGCGCTATATAAGTCGTACAAAGATTTTAGAAAATATTCCGTACAATGATATAACATATTTCTCACACCGTCTATTCATATGCATAAAAGAAAGTGCTACTTCATAACAATAACAATGGCCTCCATGTAAGGAACTGTATATTAAATAATCCACTGAGTGGTTTCAAACTCAGAGTTTCTAGACAAGTGTTCGTGAATGATCACATAAAACGTGCGATCATTGCATTCATTGACTATGATATAGTATGTGCTTTGAAATTTTATATACAAAATGGAAGTGAAAGCAGATTCTCAATTGACGCATAAACAGCCTTCCTTCATGTTTGAGTGGATCCAAGAGAGATATCGCGTTACTCTCGTATACACTCCGGGATATCCAGGTCTACCACAGCCCACACCCCAACTCACTATACCTATTACATACGTATAACACACATAAGATTTAGGTAAACAAAGATATTACGACAGTAACGTGATTTCTACAAATTGTTTTAATTACATAGATATATAAAAAATATCTGGAGAAAGAATATTTTTATGCAATGTGTTTATTAATGTTCTTTCAAATGTTACAATTAGTAATTGTAAATTAAAATTTATACGCTTTTATAAAATAAAAAATAATTATTATATTAAAATATATAAATGTGTTTTACCTGCTATTTCAAGCTTATCACCTTCCTGAACAAGAAGAGGACCGCCACTATCACCTTGACAAGAATCCTGGTTACCTCGGCCAGCGCAAATCATATTGTCGGTAATTCGATTTGCTCGATATTTCATTTTTCGACATTGCATTAAACTATATATAGGTACTTGTACTTCATGCACTTTTCCAGGCAACATTCCTCCTTCTGATGTTCTACCCCATCCCACTACTGTTCCCTCTTTTCCAGCAGGATCATATCCTGTATTTTATAATATTAAGAATAAACAGAATAATATTTAATGTATTAGGAAAGATATCAGAATTGATTATTTTATAGCTATACTACCTGGTTGAGGTAAACAAATTGGTCGAACTTTTTTTGAAAATTTCACGGATTTACGTAATTTTAATAAGGCCACGTCATGATTGTAGGAATTCATATCGAAATTCTTATGACGTATTACAACACTAACTGCTCTCATAATGGGAACTCCATCAGTGTTTACGTATTGATCATGATCACCAAGTATCACGCGAATTTTCGATCGCTTCAATCTAAAATGTTAAAATTAATTTAGTCGATACAATATATATATATATATATATATATATACTCAAGAAGATTAAAATACTAATAACAACATTTGTTGTACGTATAAGATACAATACAAATTATATTCTATCAAAAATAGTGTAGCTTTTTATAGTTTTGCTTTTAGTAATTTTTTAATACTTTTAATTCTTATTACAGTAAAATATTTTATTGCTAATTATAATTTTATAGCTAATTTTTAATTACTAATTATTTTTATTTATTATTATATAATTGAATAGGGAATATATACCTCCGTACGCAATGGGCAGCGGTAATTACAAAATCGTTGTTAAGTAGACTAGCACCACAGTGGAAACGACCGTCATATACCAACCTCGCAACCCAGGGATATCTATTCGGTATTGTAGGTTGTCCACCGACAATTCGATTTTCTTGATTAGATAAGCCACACTCTAAAAAATAATAGTATATTATAAAATTTTTATGTAATTTAAAGCAGGATATTAATTAATTATAAAAGGAGAATAAATAATATATTAAATTTAAACACAATTCAGAATCAATTATTATTTTTACGGAAAAAAATTAATTAAAAACATTATATAAATTTTTTTGCAAGATTATAATTTAACTGTAAAAAATAGAGCATCACATTTTTATACTTTTATCAACAATTAATGACATTAATTGTCTTATATGAGAAGATTTAAATATATAAATTCAATTTATAATTAATTATAATTCTCACCGCAAGTGCAATTTCTTAATTTTTCTTCATCTGACCCAAAATCAGGGATAACATCGATACCAAATATGTCATCAAATAAAAATCTTCCTTTGCGAGTTTGCGAATTATTCAAAGAATTTTCCTGAAAGCAATATGCAAATGATTAGAGCTAGTCACGCGCGCTCACTTTCCACAGTAAATACGACATAAACGATACGACATAAACGATAAGAGAAAGTAACCATCAGAATTATGGGTCAAGGTCTAAGCTGTCAAAAATCTTTAGTATTGACTAACTAAATAAATCTCGTAAGCGTTGCGTGTACAATAACATTTATATGGATTCTTTAGTGCTGATGTATCATTGATCGTAATCATTTAGAATAAATGAATAAAGAAGTTCACACCTTATCTTATTTTATTAAGTGTATTGTAAGATATATTCAAGGTTGATATTCTTTAAAACGACCAAACCGGCTAATGATGGAAAATTACTTCATTTATTCAGCAACGTTTTTATGGTAAGATATAATGTTGTATGTGTGTGTATGTGCTAAATAATTAATTGCTAAATAAAATCATGTCATAAGTACATATTTAAAAAAATTTTTAATTTATAAATATGTATTTAACACACACTTTCATTCTCTTTCTTTTCCGTCTCTTTTTTTCTATATATAAATTTAAAAATATATATATATATATATATATATATATATTTAAAACACGAAATATAATTTTTATCTTTAAAATAAATACATGCATAAATATGTGTATAGATAAATTCTCCTGCTATACTAACAATAAGTACACAAGAAACATTTTTCACTAAAAAGATATATTTCATAATTATTTACTGATAAAAGAAATATATAATTATATTATTATATGCAATTCTAGTTTTATAAAACACAAACACAAACATATATACAGTACTTGGTTTTTTTACTTAAGCTAATCTTGTTTCTGTGCAATTTTATATCTCCATCAACTTAATATACTCACAGCAGAGATCACTGATGCTATTATACTATTTCGATGAAGTCCACTTTTGGTGGGCAACACGTAGAAAGCTATGATTAATATCGGAATCAAAAGCTTGTGGCGAAACACGTGCAAAAGCATTTTTCCATTTGTCGTTCACAAATGTCATTCAGAATTATGGATATGTTCTTCTCTCTATCGATGCTGCACCGTACACCACGCGTTTCTCTGAATGCCACAGCAAACATGCATTATATTGCACACGTACGAACATTCGGCGATTTCGCTCTCCAACACCGTCTTTTTCGTTTCTGTGAATTTTGTGAAGAAGATACACGGGATGATGTTCGGGTCCGTCGAAGATGACTGTCGCTCTTGCGCGCTTTCACCTTAGTTCCACAAAGAAGTTGAACTGATCGACCGAGAGCCAGCCGGTCTTTATGGTTGCGAAGAAAGTTCTTCTTTCACTGTCACTCTGCCACCATCGCCACGCTGCCATTCAGTACACATGGCATCAACGAATTCTTTTAATTTGGAATCAGGGAGATGGCCATGTGTTTTGATCTTTGTAATAAAATGCAAAGTAGATATCTCAATAAAAGTTTTCACCATGTGCAACGTTATCAGTGTTTCTTATGTGTTTTAACAGTTTTCTTGATTTCATGTTTCTTTCGAATAGTTTATCATTAAAATAGTGTTATGTCAATATAGCTAATCAAATGTATCAAATGGAAATTTTGTAAATTATTATTGTAATGTAAAGTATTGTAATTTGTAAAGTTTTAGATTTTTTAATTTTTAACTTATTGTTTAAAGCTGAGTATATATCTTTTAAAATAGGAAGGCGAATATTTCAGTTCTATTTAAATCTTCATGTTTATTACGGTTGCTATCTAACGCAAAACAACGTTTTTCTTAATTTTAAATATATTTTACCATTTTTTTAAAGATGCATAATAGATCACACTGTTGCTCCGTCTAAACAAAGTAGAAGAACGCGTCGTAAATTGAATATGTATTATTATTTATGCGATGCGTGTTCTTTTTCTTATGTGTGACAATAATTATATAGAAAATAAACTGAAAGAAACCATTGAAAGAGGAAGTCTTCTTCGTGAAAGGTCGGGTCTTAGTATTATACTGTTAGAGCTTCGTCTCGCTACAATATATCACATTGCTTTTACCATGCAATTCATTTCCCCACCACTAACAGAATTTGAGACACGCTTTTGTATAAAGTATACATAAAATTTCTCCTTCCACGGTAAGAATGCGGAAAGGGGAAATTTTGTTAGAAATGTAAAATAAAGTCAAATAATAAAAATGAAGAATAAATATCAAAGAAAACATTGATAATAATAATAAAGAAAAATATTAAATCACAACAAAGCGTACAATTTATAGAATAAATGCAGATAATTTTTCTATTTTTTTTTGTCATAAAAAATGTTTTTTAGTAAGAGAAGTATATTGAATATAAGTAAAATAAGTATACATTTAGTGAAATAAGTGTTATAATTGACATTTCAATATTATTTGACTCGCTTAAAAATCATAAGAATTTTATATAAAATTTACATACTTCTCTCTCTCTTTCTGTATTTTCCCTTTTAATTATGCATATTTATTGCACTTCAATTTGGAAGGATTCATGCGACACCGGTAATGTGGTCCGTGAAGTTTCACTAACCCACATTCACCGTTGAAAGCAAAACGTCTGAGACTACTGACCTGATTTTGCTTATTGCTTTGTTTATGTGAATATTTAAACATTGTTGTTTATTTAATATGCTTTTATAATATGTTTTTATTAGTTATTATTTGTTGTGCGCCCTTTCTTATATTAGCAAAAGAAATTAAAATTAAAACTAATTATTTTATTAATTTTAAATTTTATAATTGACTAATTACATTATTAGTATTATATAACACAATACATTGAAAATTTAATCGGTCGCAAATTTATAAATGTCGGTATATTTGTAGTTTAATTGTGTTACAATTTTCGCACACTTTTTGTTTTATTAAGTGTAGATTATTATAATATATATAATAATTTATGTGTGCATACATACACATATGTTGGATCATTTACAATCATTATTGTTAGAACTCAAACGCATTAAATTTATAATGCATTATTTTTATTCATTCTAGAAGCATTTAATTTTTTTATATAAATTTAAATCCTACTTGTATTATTGTAAAATAATTAATTCAGGTAAATAAAATTATATAAAAAAACAGACAACAATAATAACGTAAAATTCAAGTTGTACATATATATTCTTAAATGCAATTAGATAATTATTCGAATTGGAGTATATTTAATTGAGAAGCATAAGAAACGTTTAAATTCAATACTTTTAAATATTACCCGCATCGATGCAAAGCGGGTATCTTGCGTCATAAAAACTTCATACACTGTATATTATAAGATGCTATTAATAATATAAACATAATTTCATCTAATCAAAGCATGCAATATATATTCTTAAATGTTTGTTCGTTAGAAAAAAGAAAGAAAAACATGTAATCTTTTTTATTACAACTACACACAATTAAAGCATTTTTGCACTACTTTTTTATATCTAATAATTCATTGTTGAAATTGTTGACAAAAATTTTTAATACAAATGTTAATCTTACTCTTTTGAGATATCAGTGTGATTTGTGATTTTATTATTATTTGAGATAATGTATAAGTTAGATAAAGTTAGAGAAACAAATTTTAAGATTGCGCATAAGAAGTAATTGTATAGTATAACAAGTTTTTGTAAATATAATAATAGTCAAACAATCATATATATATATATATATATATATATATTATTTTTTTATATTCAAATAGAACATATATATATATATATATATATATCTTATTTCATATATGTAAATTAAATTATATGTAAATTAAAAATATGCTTTTAACGAGTAATTTATTGTATTAATTTCTTTATATACATTTTTATATATTAACACATGCGCTTAACTTACATGATTCTTTCTAATAATTTAAATTACAATGAAAGCATATACCTTCTCTTTTTCTTTCTTTTCTTTAACTCGTTACTTATAACAAAATTACAGTTACAGTAAAATTTTTTTGGTAATTATAACTTTATTCCTGTTTTTGTAACTATAACTGTTACTTAATTTAGTTACATTTTTTTGTTAACTAGTGACTAATTTAAGAGTTACTTTTTAATAGTTAGATTATTTAAAACTTAAGGCTAACAATTTTTTGGAAAGTTATGACTGTCTGAAATTTTATGAATTTTTTAATTGAAAAATTTGAATTCTATAATTTTTATTCTAAGTAAATAATATTAATTATTATGTTAGAAAAAATTAATTGATTACAAATTATCAATTTAATATATTTAATATATTTATTAAAAATTATTAATTTACTATATTAAATATTCTACTATTTAAATATTCATTTTAAATTTAAAACAGTTGTAGCGTATTCATAGCATATATATATAACATAGCACATAAGTATATGTAATATACAATTTAGTAAAGCTTGAAACACACAAAATTATTTTATTTAAAATATAATATAGAATCATTACAAAAAAATAACTGAAAAGTAACGATTCGTTACTTTTTGTGTTGTTATAATTAACTGTGACATATTATTTTTCACAATTGGTAACTGTTAACTGTAATTAGATACTTTTTCAATGAAATAAACTGTAACTGTAACTAGACACTTTTACAAAATAACTTTCTCAATCCTGTGTGTGATTATAATATATAAATATTTAATTAATATCTACTACATATATTGTTCTATATACGTATATTGTTTTCGTTATAATTGTACTTTAAATATATATATATATATATATATATATATATATATATATGTGTGTGTGTTAATAATATATATATATATATGTATTATATGTAATATATTATATATATATTATATATATATATATATATATATATATATATATATATATATACACATATACATATATAAACACATTACATAATTATGAAACACATTTTTGTGTAAAAGTTATTAATATTTTTAATACATCCACTAATAATTCCTTATTAAGGCTCATATTTTGGCGTCTTAGTTGTTTGTTTTTATATTTATTTATGAATTCTTTTTGTAAATGAAATGGCATTTCATTAAAAAAATCGAGAAAAGTTTTAATAGTTGCTATATTAAAATAATAAATTAATAAAATTAGATTGCAATGTAAATAATAGACGTAAAAAAATTTATTTTAGATGCTAGCAATAAAATTTAATTTATATTTATTTTTAAAAACTTACAACACACATATTCATTATTTGTAGGTAAATTTGTATCGTAAGTATATATAAATTCGCGATGACTGCAATGGCGTACTATATATTTGAGATTTTTAAGTAATTCTTTTATCTTTTTGCGAGGATTTATTAAATAAAAAAGTGGTAAATCTGAATTAAAAAATGGTAAAACTTTATTGTTTGTGACCTAGATAAAATAAAAGTAGTAATTAAACATTTATTCTGCAAAATTCAAATTAATGAAGAATAAAAATAATAAAATTCACCTGCCAATACGATGCAAAGCGATCATCTTGAATTGTAATAATTTTAAATAAATCTAATATATAATTAGATGTTGGAAAAACCACAAGCATAGTTCCACCAGGTCGAAGCATATGATAAATATTAGTAAATACTTGTCTTATGTAAAAAAATATATATTATATTTCAAAAATAAATATTTATTACAAAATTTTTAAACAATATATAATAAGATTATTATTGTAACTTTTCTTATATATTTTTTCTTTCTTATGTTATTTAAAAAAATTCATCAAATATTTTTGAAATACGTTTCTTATTATTTTATTTTCTAATGTGTTTTAGAAACATTGAGAACTATATTATATAAGAAAAACAGTTATATGTTTAAATATTTAATATAAAACTATATGCAAAAAGTAATATGTAAATATTATTTAGTTTTCAACTCAACTTAAATAATCTATTCTAAAAAAAATAAAAATTTTTACAAATAAAATTAATTTATAATTATGTACTTGTAATCCATGCTCCAATCCAAAGCTTTAAACAAAAATATGTGATCAAATTTGGAGATATATTTTTTCGGTAAATTTTTAGTTTCAATATTTAATATTTCAAATTTGAGTCGTGCCTGGTTTACATATGTTTCTTTCGCATAATTGATTGCGCGATTTGATTTATCCGTGCCTTTAAAATGTGCAATTAAAGAATAATTTATTATATTATAAATAGTAACAATTTACGTTATAAAATATGTTGTCATATTCTTTTACTTTATTATTTTCCTACCAATTACTGTTGCTTTTGGTCCAAGAGCTGGTAAGAGAATATTGTTCGTTACATCTCCAAGACCACAATCTATGTCTATACATGATCCAGACATAAGTTTTAGATTTTCGTCATACTCATCAATTACATATGATGCTAAACGTTTATGAATATCGTTATAACAACGGTATTCTTTTTCTATACTTAACAATGAGTCTGTAACAATTTTATTTTTTTAATGTTTATGAGTACAAAATAAATAAATAACACCCTAAGATTTTATTGCTCGTTTAGTTAGACTAAATATCATTTTATTTTTAAATAACTTTTTAATTTATACGAGCCTTCCAATTTTTAATTTTATTATTAATACGTTACAGAATTTTGATTATTTATTTTTTATAATTTATTTTCTATAATTATGTTAAATTAAATACTTAACTAATGATAACTAACGGCAATTAACGACAACTAACACAGATATTAGCAGATATTATATTTGGTTCTCCGATGATTAAAAAAAATATAATCTGAATTAAGTAATTTTGCAATAATTTATACAAACGCTAATATTATTTTTAACATACTTTTTTTACTTATTGTTCTTGCAAATTTTACGGTTTCTGTTTAAATATAAAAACTCTATTATTCTAACACGTAACTAACTAGTTTGTATAAGAAAGTTTTATTGCATAAATAAAAAGAACTTTTATTAATATCTTTAAATAATTATACTCACTAAACATAAAACCACCCACTAAACCTTTAACCGACGTTACATTCAAGAAATATACATTGTATAAAAATGTTTTATAATAAATAATATTTCTGTAATGTTGCATAGAAGTTTTGGTAAAACGTTTTATTTCTAACATCTACCGAACGTAAAAACATTACATTTCGGTAATTAAAACGAATATATAAAATGTTTCAAATGAAATCTTGAGCGACATTCAAGCAACATTCAGTTTGTAACGTTACATATAAAACGTTTCGCAACGTTTATAGAACATTTAATTTATTTGATGTTACTAAAATGTTTATTACACAATGTCGTACGAGTGTTGCATATATAATGTTTTATTTGTAAAAGTAGAACATAAAAAACAAGTAGTAAACGAATCGATCAATTATAATTATGATTGAATAGTGAGGCAGCTACAGCCTTACTGCTTACATTTTTTATGTGCAATAGGCTTTACAAATAAAATATTTGTATGACAAAAGTCTGATATCATTGTAAATAGTTAAAAGCTAGTCTCCGTGTGTCCTTTTCGCTGTTTTTGCTGTGTGCATGCGGCACGTGTGATACTAACCGGTTCGATCTTGCTGCACAATCATATATTATCAGCGAAGTGTTAAAATGGATTTGAATAATGTGAGTGACCTTGGGATTCATTGAATGTATTAATTGATATTTTTCCCGTTTCAAGTTCCGTTTATGCTGGAGACAGAATTTGTCGACCGATATGGCGGGCCAACAAAACCCGGCTCCAAACAGCACTTACCATGTCCAAAATTGGAGCATAAGACATCTTTAAGAAAGCTTTAAGATATCTTAGAAGTCTTATGATATGATATTCAAAAGACATCTTAAAAATATTTTAATGTCTTATACTCCGATTTGGATATGTTTCAATTTCGTGCTATAGGCTACGTTCGGAAACGTCCCCCGAATGCATTCCTCTCTTTTTCTATATCACTTCTGTGTAGGTGATATAGAAAGAGAATGTACTCGGGAGACAAATCTTTTTTTATTATTCGCCGCAAATGCCTTTTACTTGTAAAATACTTCTTGATTTTAGTCATAGTTATACAGAAGTTATAATTATTTACACACTTTATCCAGTGTATAATAGCTAAAAAAATAAATGAGAATGTAAGTACACCTCACGCGATATGAGAATTGTCATATGTCACGTATTAAGCTCCATTTAGGCAGGGACAAATATACCGAGGGCTGCGTTAGGAAATGTCTCCCAAGTACATTCCCTCTCTTTCTATATCACTCACACAGAAGTGATATAGAAAAAGAGAGGGATGCATTCGGGGGACGTTTCCGAACGTAGCCTATAGCACGAAATTGAAACATATCCAAATCGGAGTATAAGACATTAAAATATTTTTAAGATGTCTTTTGAATATCATATCATAAGACTTCTAAGATATCTTAAAGCTTTTTTAAAGATGTCTTATGCTCCAATTTTGGACATGGTAAGTGCTGTTTGGATAGCCGGGTTTTGTTGGCCCGCCATATCGGTCGACAAATTCTGTCTCCAGCATAAACGGAACTTGAAACGGGAAAAATATCAATTAATACATTCGATGAATTCCCAAGGTCACTCACATTATTCAAATCCATTTTAACACTTTACTGATAATATATGATTATGCAGCAAGATCGATCTGGCTAGTACCACACGTGCCGCATGCACACAGCAATAACAGCTAAAAAAACACACGGAGATGATAGACTAGCTTTCAACTATCTGTTGCACATACAAAAATATAAGAAATATAAGCAGTAAAACTGCAGTAAGACTGTGGCTACTTCACTATTCGATCATAATTATAATTGATCGATTTGTTTACTATACTTGTTTTTTATGTTCCACTTTTACAAATGAAACGTTATATATGTAATACTCGTACGACGTTGTGCAATGAACATTTTAATATCATCAGATATATAATGTTATTAAAATATTTCTTAATGTTTCAAAATAAACGTTTAACATGAAAAGTTCATGAAACGTTATATAATGACTGTTTTAGAAATGTTACATTTATATAACGTTAAGTTTACATTTTAAAATGTTACTACAATAATAACACGTTACAAATTAAATGTTCTATAAACGTTTTATATGTAACATTACAAATTGAATGTTGTTTAAACGTCGCTCAAAGTTTTATTTGAAACATTTTATATATTCGTTTTAATTACCGAAATGGAATGTTATTACGACGTTCGGTAGATGTTAGAAATAAGACGTTTTACCAAAACTTCTATGCAACATTGCATAAATATTTCTTATGAAACGTTTTTAATACGATGTATATTTCTCGAATATAACGTCGCTGAAAGGTTTTATGTTTAGTGGGTTGGTATATTAAAAAAATAATTTTTTAAATATAATTTTATTATTACATTATACTTATTTTTTATTTTTAAATTTGAATCGTGTAAAGTACTATTAAAATTATTATATTATATTTTGAGTATATATTGTAATGATATATACATACACATATATATATATATATATATATATATATATATATGCGTGTGTATAATATAAAATATGTGTGTGTATAATATAAAATATGTTAAAATAAAATTATATTCAAAGTAATATTTTTACCAATTTTACGTACCTGAAGTAACTTGGTTCATTATTAATATTGTTGACGAATATTTGTCTTATTTTCTTGCAATCTCGACAGAAAATGTGACTTATTGTTAGTATTTGATAACGTGCCAGACAAAATTAAATACGGTCGCGCGTAATAACAAGTTTTTATAAATCGTTATACAAATGTCATATATGTACAAACATAATAGTCAAGTAACCTTATTTTTATTTTCAAGCATACATTTTTGTGCACTTTTTTAAATCAAAAACATATTTTTAATGCATGTTAACTGCTGCAATGTCAATAATTTGACAATGCAATTTAATAATTATTAACTATCTTTTGCAGTAAAAAATAGCAGATAGGTTAAAAAATGATAGCTTTTAAATTAAAAGTACTTATACTATATATTATATTTATTTTTTAATTACAAGTACAATATTATATTTAATTTTAAATATAACATATAGGTAATATAATATGTTTGACAATGTGTATAATAATATAAGTATATATAATATTGTATAATATGAATAACGTAGTAATATATGTAATATATATATAATATAACATAATATAATATAACAATATGTTATAGAATTTTTATAAATTTAACTTGTTTAACATAGTGTAATAACATAGTCAGAACATTTTGATTGAGTATTGAATGATACTAATTATTATAAGGAAATAATTAGAAATAATTTCGTGATAATTTAATTATCTAAATCCTACTCTTTTCGTAAAACAATGTGTTTTTATAATTACAATAGTGTTATTTTACAGTTTGTGCAGAGATTAATATTTGTTCTACTAAAATTTTAATGATTTTTCCACAAAAAGGTAATGTTTTATAAAAGATATAAAATCATGAATTCATTCAATATAATGTTTCAGAAAAGATTAATTTTATCTACGTTTAAAAAGCTAAATTTTTAAAACATTCTATAATTATACATACATATAATATGTGTGTGTAATATGCAATATTATATTTTCTTTGCATAAACTATTAAAATTTTGTATAGGTCTAATACAAATGTTTCTTCCTGATTATTTTGTATTGTTTTATAAGTGATTTTTCTTTCTTCAAATTGACGTGTAAATTCATTCTTGAATTCTTTTCTCAGATCAGGTGACATTTGATCCAGAAATGGATAGATGGATATTATCGAAGCTATCAAAATAATTCATTTAATTTAATTATTAGATTTAAATTACGATTTAAAAAATAAACGAAAAAAACGTTGAAGCAAAATAATACGATGTATTATAATTTATAATGTAATAGAGTACATTTTTTTATATATTTTTTAAATCACTTACATAAAAATTACTTGAATTCTTAGAGGAATATGTCGTTTCTCGAAGACTGCAATGGTGAATCTTAAATCCAAGCTTTTCAAGTAATTTCCTTAGTTTGTTACGAGGTTCGGCTGAATCATTAAACGGTGAAACATATTTGTTGACATTCTGTGTAAACATAAAAATAATTAAATGTTCATAGTTGCAAAGTTGATGACATATGCAAATATAACAAAGTTTACCGGTATATATGGTTTGAAACGACTATCTTGAGCCATAATTTTCATAACTTCATATATATCATGAGTTGCTACTATAAGCATAAGTATATTTCCACCATGACGAAGCATACAATAAATATTTTGAAATGTTTGTCTGTTAAATAAAGCATCGATAAATGTTGTATTGTATATAAAATATTTAAGAAACTACATTAAAATTAAACTTAATTTTATTTTAAAGGTTTTTACATAATTGATACATAATATCTCTATAATATTCTCAAATAATTTTAGAAAATATAGCAAATTATTATTTATTGTATTTATTTTAGAAATTTAATTTATATTTACTTAACAGTTTTAACTTACTGAATGTCCTCACACCAATTCAAAGCATTAAATGAGAATATATGATCAAATTCAGAAATATATTTTTTAGGCAAACTTTTAGTTTCGGCATCCAATATTTCGAATTTAAGTCGTTTTTCCTTACTATATTCTTTGTTTGCAAATTCGATCATATTCTTTGAAATATCGGTACCTTTAAAATATGTAATTATTTAATTAAATAACGATTAAATAATAATTTACAGATAGGAAATGAGCTAATAAGAATCAAGTGCAAAAAATAGGCGCAACAAACTTATTTTGAAATCTTTAATTGATTTGAACGTTTTATTCTTTCCTTTGAATCTTTAGCACAGTAATTGACAAAAACAAATACAAAACATTCATGCGTCTTGATTCTTATCCCTGTTTTCCGTTTTTGACTCTTCTCTCTCATTTTACTTGTGAAGAAATAAGGAGAATAGTTTAAATAGTCAGATAATTGACAATCGTGAAAATTAAAGAAAATGATGGAAAAATTTAGATGAGATAAAATGAGTAAAAAAAGATGAATAAAACAGAAGATTTACAAAGCAACGAAAAGAAAATAAAAAGCAAGGAGCGAAAAACGCACATCATGATCATTCAATATTCAAGGCAACAATTACGGTTATAAAAAAATATGCAGACCTATTTGTTTCTATTTATTTTATCTGGAAATCGTCCTTTCAAATATAACCGAGGTCATGATATTACGCATTTTCTACTTCTTGTTTTTCATTTTGTCTTTGATCGCTTTAGTGAATCTCTGCTTTTATTCATTTTCCTATCTAAATTTTTACATTATTTCCTTTAACTTTCACGATTGTTAATATCTGATTTTTCAGACTATTCTCAACATCATTCTCTTAACGACTAAAATGAAGTAGGAGATTTACCAAAGACATACAGTATTAATGAGGATCAAGACGTATGAATTTTTTTATAATTATTCTATTACTTGATCCCAGGTAGAAATCTGCCTCGAATTGCCGAGATTAAATACAGGGCCTAGGTAAAAAAATTAAATTTGAAATATCTGTCTAAGTCTAGAATACACCCTAGAAATTTACCTTTAGTTTACCGAGGAAAAAAAAATTGGAAAAATTTGCATGGGTTCTAGATTGCCATATTTTTCCCAAATTAGAATAAATATGAAACTATATATGGGGCCAGGATTGAATAATCTAGCTTATAGGAATAATTATAATACAAATCAAGCAAATTTTTAAAAAAATTATAGGTTCTAGTTAGACTCCAAATAATTTTTCTACAAATTCTGGGCGTAATCTTGAGCTCACACGGATTTTGCGATAGGATCTGTACGATTTAGGCGTCCAAAACTTTTCACAGGTTCCAGTTAGATTTTTCACCTGGATTCCAGAAATTTTTTAAAAGAATATATGGAGCCCTGATTATTTCCAGACAAAATTTCTACCTGGGATCTGCTGAAGACGATTCAAAGAAAAGACCGAAACATTTAAGTCAAGTAAGAAAATTTCAAGATAAGTTATTATGTCTATTTTCTGCACCTACAGCTCTTATTAATCCATTTTCTATCTAAATTTTTTAGTTTATATATCAGAGTTGTTTTGCTAGAAAAGTAATAATTTACATTAATGTGATCTATAGATATTATTGTTTTCTTACCTAATATTACTGCTTTTGGATGTAGAGTCGGCAGAAGGATATCTGTTGTTATATCTCCGGGGCCACAACCAATGTCCATACATTTTCCAGACATACGTTTTAAATCATCTTGAAACTCATCAATTAAACTTATTACTTTGGCTTGTTGCAAATCATCAAAAGAAACGTATTCTTCCGGACTCATAATTTGCACAAGTTTGATTCTGTTTCTATTCTGTTTCTACTCTACTTGTTTCTACTCTGTTTCTGCTCTGCACGTTGCGTAGCACTTAACGAGATTATATCAAGAAGTTGCTTTATATACTTTCCAATCTGGTAGGGATACGCAGATTGCAAGAATATGAAGTGCATTTTCGTGGAAATTTATCAGTTACGAACGACAAAGTGAATAAATGTTTCGCACTTTTTTATTCTGTATAAGAATAATTTAGTTAATATTTTATGGTTATTTAAAGCTTTATATATATACAAAATTTAATTAATATAAAAATAATTATATAATTTTATATAAAAGTGTCAATAATCATGAAAAACTAAAACAATAAAAAATTTTTATTAAGCATAAAATTTGTTTCTTTGAAATGTAATATTAGAGATTATCTTGGAGCATGTCGTAACATTTATGATACATAGAGAGTTTTAAAATGATATTAAAAATTAAATAAATATTTTTATTATAATAATAAAAAAATTTAGGCAAAGTTTATCTGAAATTAAGAGCAGCAATTAATGTAAAAAATATTTTGTAAATAAAGTTAACACAATATGATATTTTTTTTATACAAGAACTAGCTACGATTATTACTTACAAAGAAATCTTACCAACCCCAAATATGAGGGATAATGTATTATAGCAGATGTGTGATGTGTGCGTGTGTGTGTTCTACATAAGGAATATCATATCTTTTCTAGAGAAACAGAAGTATACTAGATTTTCGAACTATCGCGAATGTTTTTCGATATAGATAAAATCGCTGAGAAGATAACAACTGTATTTGCGTTAAATATGCGTATATGTTATTAGACAGTTATCGTCTCTATCTTAAAATTTTATAATTTTTGATGTTAGAATTTTTGTCTTTAAATGATTTTCAGAATCCACTACTAATATATTGTGGTCAATTTTAAAACATTAATATCACAGTCTTTGTAATATAAAAAATTATTTTGAGATATCTCTTCAGAATGAATATTGCAACTTAATTTATTATTACTTTTAAATGCGAAGTTATTATGCAAATAAGTTATATACACACGTCATGTCATAAATATGCAATACGTAATAGACTCGCAATTGCTCCCATAATTATATAGTATTTAACATGTAATTAAATTGTAATTATAACATAAGCTTAAATTAGCTAAGATTTTATAAAAGATAATTACATAAAAACAAAAAATTAAGTAGAAAATGAGCTAATAAAATAATTAACTAGAGTTTTGATTCTTTCCGTTTTAACACTTTGCTTTAATTAATGTTCGATCTAAATGTATTTCTACTCTGAATTCTCTGTGTTTTGTCATTCACACACATACATATATATATATATATATATATATATATATATATATATATAATATATTTAGCAACATTATATATTTTGTACATATTCTAAAAAGATTTATATAAAAGATTCTATGTACAGAGTTTATGAATTTACAGCATACATATTGTAATTTATAACAAAATTGTCTTTTATTTGTTTTTATTAAGCATACAAAAATTAAAATATTGGCATATAAAATACGAGTACGTTTGCTACATGATGTTTATCACAGATGAATGATGTCTCTCATATAAATGTCTTTAATTAATAATGCAATTTATAAATAATTTTCAATTAATAATACAATTTATAAATAATTTTTAATTAACAATACAATTTATAAATTATTTTTTTATTTATATAATAAACTTAAAAAAAAATAAAAAAATTAAATATATTTGATCTTACAGAATAAATAAGATAATTTTTATTATTGTACGATAGATATCGTTCATTTATCATCACATATGATTTTATGTGACAACATTGACAGCTTGATTGACGTAATGTCACGTTTTTAAGACCAATATTTTTTTACATTTTTATGCTATTATAATTACCAGCAAATTTATACAACAGATTTTATCGACAAAAACATGAGACAATTTTAGAAATAGACGTTTTTTGATATTATTAAGAAATTATGATGAATATAATTAGAAATAAATCGAGATCTGAAAATACTTGTAAATGTGTGATATTTGAAAGTGCAAACTTTGAAAAATTTGATTGACCTAAATGCTTTTTATTTAAAAATTATTATTATATACAACCTTAATATTTTGATATTAAAATTTTTGTCTTTAATGACTTTAAGAATTTACTAAGTTATGCGTCAACTCTAAAACTTTGCGTATATTAGAATCTTATAAATATAATAAAATATTTCAATATTACATCTTTTCGGAATGCAGTTTAACGCAATTGCTTTTATGGAAAGTATTATGTAAATAAGTTTCACATGTCGAGTAATAAATATGCAACATGTAATGTCCTTGATAATTTCTCGATCGAAACGGAAATAAACATAATTATTTCTGTTGTTTTTTTTTAAGATAAAGGTAAACAAACAAAGCAATAATTTTTCATATTGATAATAAATTATTTATAATTTGAATAACTTTATATACAATGCATTAAGTAAATAAGAATTATTCATACATTTTGTTATTATACATTTTTTGTTATTAAACAAGACATTGCATTACAATATATAATATCGTAGTATTATAAATATCTTATTATATGTGCATTTTTTCTGGACTAGATATGTAATAATTATATATAAATAGATATAAAATAAACTAATATAACGCAAATATGTTTACTACACATACAATATATTATAATTCTATAATAGAATAACTAAATATATGTTTGCAGTATGTAATATAAAATTTGTTATAAATAATATTAAACTAATGTTTGAAAGCTAAAAAGTACATTATATATTACTAGTCAACTGTTAAATATTAATTTAAAGTGGTAGCCTATCTTGAGAATTTGGAAAAACTAGTTATTTTTTAGCTTAAATAATCATCAATTTAGTTCATAATCATAAAAATGAACTTCCACTAAACATAAGCTTTGACAGTTTGCTCCCTCATATTTTAAATTTTATCCACAAAATTTTATAAACGCATTTTTGTGCCAATAAATTGTCGAAGAATAATTGTGATATATCATAATAAAATTACTTATAACAAATGTTAGTTTTTTTGATACGGTGGTGGACAAATACATTCTTCGTCTAAATGATCTTTAAGCCATTCAATATAATTTGTTACTTTGGTGTATATGCCTGGAAAATTGCGTCTTCCACACCCTCTCCCAAATGATACAATACCTTTTGACACACATACATAAAAATTAAAGTCTTATAATTCAAGTTGGTAATAAACATTTTCTTTAGTTAATGGAATTCGATTTATTATATTTTAAGGCAAGAAAGTTATTTCCGAAACCCCTCAATTTGATAAATCGTTTTTATAGGATTTTTTTCAAAAGAAATATGTTGCAAACATATTCTATATATGCATCTATAATCGCAAATCAATGCGCTATGATCTACATATAGTTTTCAAGTTATAATTTTCAAAAATGTAATAGCAATACTTTTGCCACAACAATTAATATACTATATACTATATGTACTTACATTCAAGAACGAATATATTTAGTAGAATAATTTGAATGTTATAAAATAAGTGTCGACAGAGGAGAGTTTTCGCCTTTCCGTTTGCACCATTACCTCAAAAAAATATTAATCTAAACCTATATTTCTAGTTAAATTGAAATTAGATTTGTTATATTACAAAATTTGATAAAAAATCAAAATAATCTCTTGTCAAGTATTTTGAAATCTCAATATACATATATTTAAGGACGTATTGAACAAATCGCCTCGCAAAAGTTAATTCAAAACACACATTAAAAAATTAAAATTAGACAGAATACGAATTTTAATTGATCAAAATTATAAAAAATTTACGAAATCAGAGTTCTCAAAGTATTCTCTCTCTCTCCCTTCAATGTAAATAGATTTCGGTTTCTAAAAATGTATACATTTTTATATATTGCCCAAGAAACATTTTTTATTTTAAAAGTTTTGAAAGCAATGATAAATTTCAACCTAAGAAAAAAATTATGGAACAAACTACCTTTTAATTAATAAAATTCATTTTTATATTATAGAGTGTGAGAAAATACACATTATGTTTTTATTAATGATTGAAATACTAAATATGATTAATTGAAATACGATGTAAAAAGATTATACTGTTGCTAATCTTATAAAAATTGAATTTCTTTAAAAGAAGGAAGAGAGATAAGATATTATGCTGCATTGTCACATTTTGACATCGATATCGCATCAAACCGATAATCACAGTAGTTTTTTAATAATAATTGCAAAAAAAGCAAGTAAATCTAAATCTTTTTACAGTTTGAAGAATATAATATAACAAAATCAAATTTTTATTATATGATATAACAAATCAATTTTTATCATTAATTTCTCAGTTTGTGAATAATTATTTATTATTTGTCTCTCGAACGTTTGCATAAAATCTTATGTTAAAATAGCATAATTTATTAATTAATAACTTTTAACCAAGCAAGTAAAAAAATTTGAAATAATTTATCATGATTTGGGATTTTAATCTCTTTTAAAAAATTGGGATTATTAAGAATATCCCATTGAAAAATTCACGACAATGCCATTGATATTATGTCTACCTGTGATACAGATATCCTTAAAAAATTAAAATTTTAAAACTTAATATCTTGAAAAGAATCATAGTTTGCGACTTTTTTCTCATTAAAAAATCTATCAAATATACTTATCAAATTGAGGAAATAACATTCTTCCCTGTATTAACAACAAATTTTTAAATTAACAAATTTAGTGATTATTTAGACTTTTAAGACAAAAGTTTCTAATACAATATAAATGTTGTATAAAGAAAACATTTTATTTTAGATTTAAAATTGCTATATAAATATAAAATAAGTAGCATAAGTACGTACCTATTACTTCCAGTTGTCCATGAACTCCTTTGACATGTAATGGGCCTCCACTATCGCCCTTCAAATCAAAATAAAAGTATAAATAAAAATATATTGTAGCGCAAAGAAACAGAAAATAAAAGTAATTCGCTCTTTTATGAAAAAAAATCATTATTATATAAATCTTATATATACTTTTATTATATGTATATCATATACATATATATTATATATTACAATACATATATTGTATATAATGCACTTCTCTTCTTTATTCAGAAATATCAATTGTTTGCATTTATTTTAAACTTATGAAATACTCACAGAGCAAGCATCGCGTTCTCCCTCGAGGTAACCAGAACAGAACATATTTTCGGTGATGCGATTTTTTGCGTATCCAGCTTGATCACATTCCTCTTGTGACAAGATCGGTAAATTAACTTTACGCAGTTCATCACTTTCCGGTTTGTTTTCTCCCGTTTGACCCCATCCAATTACAGTTGCAATTGCCCCCGTATAATCGATATTTTCTAATTTTGTATAAATTTGTTATTATTATTTAATATTTTTTACTGCTACATATATCGGAATCTAAGTAAAGATTCTATTTTCTCGTTTTATTGTTATATAAATTTTGAGTGTAAAATTTGAATTTAGGAAATATATCAATGTAACAAATACATACAGAATTAATTTAATAAAATTAACGAAATATAGCGTTATTTACAACATATTTTAATGATATATATGCAAGTAATTATTTATTGCAATTGCAGACATTTTATATAACCGTGTGTGTTATACATGTAATACAAAAATATTATGATATAATCGATTTATAATATAACTTAAAAGGAATTCAAATTCTTGTGAAATTTATATATACATATTTTACTAATATCAGAAATAACTTACTGTCTTCAGGTAAACATGCTGTTCGCACGAGATCATTTATAGATACAGGCTGATCCATCTCTATGATCGCAATATCATTATTGAAAGAATAAGCATTAAAATTTTCATGAATAGTTGCCGATTTAATACGGCGAACTATAGCGTCGCTACTTATCGAAGGATGGTGGCTGTCCATTAAGACAAGTCTCATAGTTTTAATATCGAATCTAAAAATGATGTTGATAATAACATGTTAATATACTATTAGATGTAACTCTAGGATTAAGAAAATAATTCACAAATGTATAATAATTATCTGCGATTGTAATTGATTGATACAAACGGTTGTACGCAATGCGCTGCTGTCAAAACGTGCTTGCGTGTTATGAGACTTCCGGCACAGTGAAATTTTCCCTTTTTACTCATGCTTACAAGCCAAGGATAATTGTAAATATTTGTCACGTTGCCGCCGACAATCCGTGTCTTTCTTCCAAGCCCGCAGGCTGCAATGTATTAATAATTAATATAATAAACTGCGTATTAACATTCGGAAATCAATTCGAATGTTAGTTTGATTAGTTGCCTAATTACGTGGTTTCTTATTACTTATAGCTAATTAAATATTGTGTATTAATAAAAAAATGATTCTCTTATACCTATGTATACAGTTTTATATTATATTTGTATATAATTATAAATATATTTTTATTAATTTATATACATATTTATTAAAATTATTTTATAATTAAATATATGTCGCTCAGATACCTTACTTATCTCAAATGCTTTCACTTACTACAATCTTTACAGACGTTGGGCCTTTTGGAAGAGGATGCAGAGATGGGATCGAAATCGATATAAGATACTTCGTCTATTGTCGGACGATCATGATGAATCTCAGCATTCGTAATATTGTAGTGCACTTGAACGTTTGAGGCAGGGAAATTTCGTCTATTCTCCGTTGCCTGCAAAGGGCATAGGAATGATTAGATTTCTCATCTAAATTATCAATTCCACTTGCTTACTTTAATTTTTAAGATTGCGTGTAAGTATAAATATTTCTTTACTAGAATATCTCTTTTACTAAATAAAGAAATAATTATTTTGCAATAATATATAATATTTTTTAATTGTAATATTTACAAACTGTTTATACTTCTGGGCAAATAATAAAGAATATAAAAGAAAAATTAAAAATAATTCAAGAGAAATATGTATTAAATCTGTAATATAAATTAAATTAAATTATATTATAATAAGTAATTTGATAATTTGCACATGTCAAAATAAATTCAAGACACTTAGCATAAGAGGCAATATAAAAATAATACCATATTAGATTAATTTAATGATATGTTGACATTTTATTTAAATTAACTAATAAATTTAACAGTATTACAACGTTCAATGATTAAAATGTAGTTTGAAACAGACGAGAATATAATACTCCGCCGCTGTTACTACGACGTATTGCTACTACACACACTAATCTCTCTTTCTAGTAAACATAACACATTCATATAATGGTTATTTAACTTACCACGTGAGGCAACGCGTAGACGCAACAGCTCAGGCATAGAAAGAGCGCGAACATGTATTCCATTCTTGCATAGCCGTCCATGCCGTGTTCTTGTATGCGGTTTCCGGTAATTGAGGCCCGTGCACGTGCTTACACCCGTGGCGCGAAAAGTCTAAAGGTATCCTGGTCGTTTTGCCGTTTTATAGTAAATTATAACTAATGAAGGAGAACCCACAAGAGCCGCGAGTGTGTCTCGGTGGGGATCGTCAACCTTGAGTGGTGCGTTTGCATTGGCAGATGTTACATGTGACAGCTTTTAAATCACCCGGTCGGTGTACGCGTCCGTTGTCTCTCACCTGCACAGGGTACAGACACAATGAGAATTTGCAGGCGCATAAAGGTACGCACGAGGCGAGACGGTATGTATGGCGCAATCGACTCATCGACCACCACGAACCCGTCCAATGTCAACCCGGTCCACCTCTTCACGGCGACCCTTCTTTTCAGGGATCCACCGAGACTGGATCAATGTCAATTTCGTCAGCGGATGAACATCACCGCTCCTCGTGACCGTCACGGTTCATTGTCGCGGTGTGACGACGACGACGACGACGACGACAATAATAATAATAATGATGATGTTGATGATGGTGATGGGTTGTTTTCGTCGCGCTGATAGCTCGCGCGAGCGAGACAACTAATTGCAGGGATTTCACTCGGCGCACTTTAACACCTCGCGTGAATCTCATTTTTATTGTTGAATTCCGTAAGACGCTTTCTTCCAGTGCGCGTTTACAAGGTTACATCCTTCCCGAAGAAAGTGATTTGCTTGGAATTTTTTACCGCGCGAGCACTCGACGCTAAGATCGATCGCATTATATATTTTTAGGACTATTTTCTGTTTTACATGCAGCTATTACTTTAACAATTATCATATATATGTGCATGAGTTATTATATTATATCATAGCCTTATATAAACTCGAATCTGTTATAAAATTATAGTTTTATAACATATGGATACCGCGAAACCATGAAAGTAGGATGCTGTTGCAATTTCAATTAGGTCAATATAATTGTGATTTGTCAATAATTCTCATGAAAGACGAAGTTATCTCGGGTCATTAACTTGCTGCAATTGTAAAGATGCCATGAAGTTGTGAGTTAATAGAACGTTTAAATTATCATATGGTTCTTAGATCGTGTAATGTGGAAGAAAACGCATTAGAAGAATTCACGCAATACAAACATGCAATATCCGGCACGAAAGACACCGTAAGAAAGTATTCCATTAAAAATGTTGCAATTTCCTCAGCGCAAAATTTTTAATTTGTTCCGCATCATTTTTTGATACTTGCACATTCGCGTTTTGTTCAACACGAACGGAAAAAAACATCATCTTGCGACTTATTAACTTACAGATGATTTTACTTTCACTGCGAATTATACGCATCTTCCTTCTCCCTCTTCTCCTTTTCGGCATGCAATTTTCAGCTGACGTCAAAATTGCATCCAGGTAGAAATGCGAAAGTGTTCCTCTCGAAACGCTCACCACGAAAGTCTCAGATGAAATAAACGATTTAAAATTCACCTTTGATTCGTTACCAAGAATTTTCATTGCTTTGATATACACACACACAAACATATACATAAATGTTTTTGTTTTTTATTTCAAATGTCGATAACATACATACATATAAACTTTGAAATTTCTCGTAATAAATTAAATGTGAATTTTAAATATATGTCTTTTTTCTTTTATTTCAAAGATTGATAACAAATATATAAATGTATATATATATATATGTTTTATGTACTATCATGATTAATTTTAATTAAATATATAGCAATTAAAATTAAATATTGTTTTATAAATTACATTTTACTGTGACACTATTATTTTTTGTACAATTGTTTTAATTGATCAATTACTTTCATATAATTATTAAACATTATTTCTTTTTATTATATATTAATGGTTTTTATGTATTCTCTAATTCTATTTGGAAATAAAATATAATCATGTTCCGCAGTATATGTGACAAAAAATTCGCAATGTAAACAAATTGCATCGCGCATACAATCTAACCCTGAAGATACGTGAAAAATAAAGCAAGGCTTCTGATAAAGTTAGACACACATTAAGACAATAAGGTAATGCGCGTCTCGCCCGCATGAGGGTCGCGTTACCTATATACCTTGACCCACTGTTACAAGTTACAGGTGATGTATAATATCTTGCCCTGCCGCATCTTATCTCATTTGTTCAGCACTAATCGAAGTTATGATAAGCCAGGTCGGAGAGATACTAACAAAGGCAAGGGCGAGGATCTGTCAAAGGATATGTGACATGTTACTTGATATATTACATACATATGTTATTATGTACATGTGACATTCTTACACAATATTTGTTCTATTTTTCTCTCCTTCTCTGCTGTCTCTTTCTCTCCTCTTTTCTCATGAAGTTAATCAAATGCGATTTATCATGTTTCCTAAATATTTAATTAATTTAATTATAAAAATTAATTTAATTAATTTAATTATTCCATTTATTCTATTCTACAGATGATTATATATTAATTCATAACACATTTCTTTTTATACATATATGTACTATTATACTTAAACATTAGTAAATGTTCTACTTATTTTATATTTAAGAAAATAAAATTTTGGCAAGTGATATTTATCTCTCATATTTTTTTAAAAACATTAATTTTTTGACAATAAGAACACAATTTTATTCATAAATTATGAAAAATTTTATGGAAAGATATTGAATGCAAAAAATAATATGTTTTACATATTTTTTGAATAAATTTCTTTTAACTAGATCATTTTATTTTTCTCCTTTATACTGGTTTTTAAAGAGAAATCACGAGAGAAAAAAAGGAATCAGCTGAGCAAGATACATCATCTTTTGTAAACCGATAGGTTTAACAGATCTTTTATGTGCTTATAACATTTGTTTGAGGTGAATTTACATATCGCTAGCCTAAATTTTCACTCCTGCTACCGGCTTGTCCACTATTCCGTATAAATAAAGACGTGACACCGAATCGGAGGCTTGTGTGAAAGTATATGTTGCCTCGGCAGGAAGTGTTGTGGATCAGATCAGTTCAACACTCCTTCTTGAAGTGCTCAATAACGCAGTAATACCGTTAGTGTGATATTTTAAAGTGCAAGAAACAATGTTGCTTCGATTTATGTTATTATTAACATTTGCCGCAACAGCGTTAACAGCTACCATTGACAATGAGGTATCGTCGATGTTAATAATGTGATATTTTTGCATATTTATGAACAAATTATAAGACAATTCGTAAATCAACTTATGCTAAAATAAAATATAAAGATATTTGAAATGGAAATATGATAGGAATACACACAAATTATATCTTTTAGATTTTTATTTTATTTCTTTCGAATTTTTTAATTCAAAGTGAATTGTTCTTTAACCAAAATTTTATATTAGTAAAGTAGTACATATTAGATTTTCTCAAACTTAATTCATGTACATGCAAAATGTTTTGTTGTTCAACATTATTTGAAAATATTTATTTTATTAAAATTATTATGGATGATAATTCACGTATTAAAAGTTTAAAAATATTCTATATAATTAATTTTAGTTTATATAATAAAAATTGCAATCTAAATATTTTAATTTAAAAAATATATTAAATAGCAGTTGCAGACAAACTCAACTTTACCCGCAAAAGAGCAAAACTTAAATAGCACAAGTGAAATCAATAACGAAAAAGGATTCTGGGAATGGTTGGCAGATGTAGTAGTGCCGAAACCACCAACAGTTCCACAACCTCCACAAATAGAAAAATGTACAAAATGCAGTAAGTTTAAATTTATTATTTTTTAAACACATTTATATAAATTTTATTTTTAAAAAATAATATTTAATTATATACTCTTTATTATTATCATATATTTTCTATGTTATTTATTCTACTTGTTTCGATATTATTAAAAATTTTAAATTACAATTTAATAATTACAGGATGCAATTATTTGAGCTGGATTTAAAATAGTCTTGTGATTGTATCGATTTTATGATTATAAAATATAATATGAAAAAAGACAAAATAAAATATTTATAAAATAATATTAATATATATAAACGCATTTTTTAAAAATATATTATATTATAGAAAAAATTATTTATTTTAATCAAATTGTATCATTAATAAAGCAAAAAAAATATTTACTTTTGGAGTATGAGAGAGAGAGAGAGAGAGAGAGAGAGAGAGAGAGAGTAAGATATACTAGTTCTTAATTTATAGCTTGCGGTTTGACGAACAAACATAATCGTATTGTCGGAGGCGTCGAAACACTCGTCAATCAGTATCCTTGGATGGGTCTACTGATGTATAGAGGACAATTTTATTGCGGTTGTTCAGTCATAAATTCACGATACGTGTTGACAGCAGCTCATTGCATTGATAGGTAATTTACTTGTTCATGTTGGGTTTTGGCCATTGTTAAATGCATCTGTGCAAAATACAGTCGATATAATCAATCAGGTTTTTTTTCATAACAGATTCGATGGAAGTAGAATGACTGTCCGAATATTCGAGCACGATCGGAATTCGACTAGTGAAAGCAAAACGCAAGATTTCAAAGTGGAAAAAATAATAAAAAATAGTGGTTATTCGACTACTAATTACAACAATGATATTGCACTTATTAAGCTAACAGATTCTATCAAGTTTCAGGGTTCGATGCGACCTGTCTGTCTTCCGGAACCAGGTAATATTTAAATTTTAAAGCTGATTTTATCAAAAATTAATAAATAAAAAAATAATATATTATTTCTTAAACATAGGTGAAATATATATAAAGTGTGTTGAATTAAATTTTTTTTTAATTTGCATGAAGTTAAAAGTTTAAAAGCTAAGAAAGATAACTTATAATATAAATTTAATTAAATGGTAGATTACATCGTTTATCTGTTTTCAGGGAAAACCTTTGCTGGTGACAAAGGTATAGTGACCGGATGGGGCGCTATCAAACAAGGTGGGCCGGTATCAAGCACTTTGCGAGAAGTAATCGTTCCTATTCTTTCGAACGCGGAATGTCGCAATACGCAATATCCATCTCGTAAAATCACAGATAATATGCTGTGCGCGGGTTACCAGCAAGGCGGCAAAGATTCCTGTCAAGTAAGAAAATTCTACTGGACTTCTATTTTGTTTTTTATTAGTATATGTTGTATATACATTATCGTAAATAAAAAAATTACGAGGAATAATAATGTGAAAATTTTTGTATTATTAGGGAGACAGCGGTGGTCCATTGCACGTAGAAAAAAATGGCGTTCATCAGATAGTTGGTAAGTTTAACTTCAAATTGCGTTAGTTATCTAATCTAAGCAAGACTCGAGAACTTGTTGGATGTAAGGAAACTTTTCGTTAAAGCTTGAAGTACTTTTACGCGAAATAAGGTAAACAAGTTTAGAAATAAAAATTCTTCAATTTCGCAGGAGTAGTAAGCTGGGGAGAAGGTTGTGCTCAACCTGGGTACCCTGGAGTTTATAGCAGAGTAAATCGATTTCTTACATGGATTGCATCCAACACGGAGGGTGGTTGTTATTGTTAATATACAATAGTTAATATAGACTGACATATTTATTTCAGTTAATTTTACGTAATACATGTATTTAATAATAATGAGAAATACTCAACGTAAGCCATGGAAATAGCCAATAAAATGTACAATAAAGCACGTACAGTTAACGCTTTTCAATAGCTATCAACACTTTGAGAAAAGTGTAATACTCAATCATATATTAGGTACATTGTTAGTTATTTTTACATTAAAATTATTTAATTATATGAAACAACATCTTTTTATCACACATCTACAATATTTGCGGTTTGTGTAATATATTGACGCTATTGAATTGGAAATTTAATGTTGCGTTGTGCATATAATTATAAATTTATAGCATCATAAGATAATATAATTATTTAACTTATATTTATTTATTTTTATTATATATGTATTTGTATATGTAATATTGTTGTTGTTAATTAAATTAATTTAATGTTTTACAATTACATTATAAATAATTATATTTAATGCGCGACTTTATAACATCTTACATTATGTACATAAACGTATATATGGCAATTGAAAATTAAGGCACGCGCACTCCTCTTTACATTGATCAATACTCACAATAAGTACATCGAAGAAGAAAGTAACAAGACTTTCTCTGTTTCTTTCTATTGATTTGGTATTTCAGTGAAAATTTACATACATTATTTGTAACACAATTTACATATAGTATGGCGTGGACATATGACAATATAATGCATTTTATTATCGTGGTATTATCGTGATAACGAGAAATTTTATAATTAATTTGAACATAATATAAAAATTTTAAGTGATTATTTTTTATGAAATTTAAGCGAATCTTTCTATAATTCTATTGCACACGATATCAAGACTTGAATATGTTTTAAAGAATATATTATGAAAAAAATTTTACTAGATAAGACACATCTTTTCTATATAGAAATTATATGCTATACAAAGTTTAAATATCAAATTCTTATGTATTAGTAACTAAACGGCCTTCGATTACTGCGTCATTATCTGACAAGTTATCTTGTTTCGTTTCGTCATTTCCTGCTGGTTGTAACCAATACGTTTCCATATCTCCTTTCCCCTTTATATGTAATAAATAATATATTTAATATTATATATATATACTATAATTATATTATACGAAAGACTTTTACAATACGAACCTTTACCCATACAACGCCACGTGATTCGGTGCAATAACGATCTTTAGGTAACAAAGCTTTAGTGCTAGAAGAAATGTGCACTTTTCCCGGCTACATCACAATACAATTAAATAGTATAGAGATGACAAGAAAAACTTATAAAAGAATAATGAAAAGGTAAAAGGTGTATATGATTTATGTAGCATAAAAACGCACAGGGAAGACTGATACAATAAATATAATATTTATATATATATTAAATTATATTATATAGTTATGTGAAAATATAGGAAATATGTTACCAGACTAGTGGTCTGCATTCTAGAAGCTGTGTTAACAGTATCCCCGAAGAAACAGTATCTCGGCAATTTGATGCCAACTACACCTGCCACCGCCGGTCCGGAATGAATTCCTGCAAAATTCCAGAAGAAATTCTACTATTTCTATTTGTTACAATATATGTATCAATAATTTTGTTATTCTTCGCGAAGAAAAAAATCTTATGAACAATTTTACATTGAATAAACAAAGAGTCACATGTTAAGAAATGCGAGAGAATATCGTATTCAAAATTCGACTATCACTATATGTGTTGAGTGATAACCTATGCGGATTCGTATGTCCAATCCGGAGGGTAATTCGAGAGATCGAACATGCTCAATAAGTTGTAGAGACACATCGGCGATATTTTGCGCATGGTTTTTATTTCGATCTGGTGCTCCGCTAGCTGCCATGTACACGCGACCAACAGTCTCTACCTGTACAAGAAATATAACGTACAATTAATGAAATTTCTCTCTTTTGATGTCGTTATACTGTCATAATTGTAATTCATTAAAAAAACTCGGATGAGTTATCTTTGCGGCTGAGAAAAATGATTTAATATTATTATTTGATTGGATTAAGATTCTATAAATGCGTACTACATCGCGTATTAGTAAAATTTTATCTCTGTGATAATATATCTAGCAATTTTAATGAAATATATAATAATCTTACTTTATAAACATTAAATTGATCCATTAACGTATCGAAACAGGAAAAAACAGCATTCATAGATAAGACAATATCCATTGCTCCTTCAATGGTAGAATAATCAAAGTCGCATAATTCGCAGAAAAGAACCGTTACTGACTCGAATGACTGAAAATATAGTATCGTTAAATATTTGTTATCAGATAAGATTAGGAAATAAGGTCAGATCTGTTCTTATACTTCGCAAGTGCTCAATGGGCTAGTTCCGGCTCGTAATCGGTCAGCCACTGTTTGCGGGATCATAGAATATAAAAGCTCGTCGCTCTTATTCTTCCATCTATCCAATAACACATAACTGTTCTCTAATTCCGCCGATCTTTGTTCTGCTCTCTCAAACATCATTTCCAATCTTTGCAAGTATAAAGATGTAAAATATGATTATTGTTATTGAATAATTGTATGTGAACATTTTTGTTGGATTATACACAGATATACGTAGAACTTAAAATTAGCTTCGATATAGTTATAAAATGGTATACAAAATATCTAATAAATGTATATGGTGTAGAAATATAGCAATAATAATAATAATAATAATAATAATAATATTTTTTCTTTACGTAAAATATATTTCATTTTTATAAGAATATTTTATTTTAATATAATTGAAAATTTAATTTAATTACATACCTTCCACAATGTTGCCATCCTGCTAATACCAGTTCTTTACTCATACCATGAGGATTCAGATCATTTACATATAGACCCATATTAAGAAGTTCGTCTAAACTATTAATTCTATTGCAGACAGACAATTATGATTATTACAAATTTGATATCCCATTTGTAAAACATGATAATGATAAAGCTGCGAGAAAACTCACAAAGGACTACAAAAAAATATAATCGCTTTAATATCATCGATGTATCTCATTTGGCCCTTTAACAAGATGCTTCTCGCACCTTGACTTCCACGTCTATTTAAGCTACTAGTGCTTGTGCTTGGTGTACTATCTGAATTTATCGGAGAGCGATGATCATTTGCTCTGATGAGTTCTAATTCGAATATCACTGAATGCAAATACATTATCTAAAAATATAAATTTTATAAATATATTTTTATGTTGCAACTTGTATGTTTTATATTATATGTCTGAAAATATATAATAGCTTAGAAAATTAATTCTTGCAGCTTTCCAAGTACATTTATATTGTATTTGTGCGAGTATTACTTACGTTTCCCCATGTAAACGAAATTCCTTTGGGTCTCCTTAATTTGAATATTTCTGTGACAGGCTTATTTAAAATAGACATAGTACCACCCCAAGCTTGGAGCAGTTTATCACCTGCTCCTAGAATTCGCATATCTTTGTTCATTACGACGCCGAATGGAAAAAGGCGTAAGAAAAACGAGCAGGAAACAGGCGACATTTCACGGTTTAATGTAGTTTTTATTCTATTATTCTTTATGACCTAAAAATTTTCAATAAAATGCAAATTATATATAAGTTAAATATAAAACTTATTTCAAACGACATAGTTTAATAAAATTCTAATTAGATAATAAATATATATGAATAATAAAGTGTAAACAGGCACATAATGCGGATAATGCTATAACATATGTATGTACACAAACGCATAAGATATTATAAATAAGAATGTGATTTATCATTATTTACTTCATCAATTTTTATCGATTTATCTACAAGCTGATAATATCGCTTTACGAAATGAGGGATATCCCTATATTTATAAAACCGAGAAAGTATTAAATTATATATAAGTTAAATATAGAACTTATTTCAAACGACATAGTTTAATAAAATTCTAATTAGATAATAAATATATATGAATAATAAAGTGTAAACAGGCACATAATGCGGATAATGCTATAACATATGTATGTACACAAACGCATAAGATATTATAAATAAGAATGTGATTTATCATTATTCACTTCATCAATTTTTATCGATTTATCTACAAGCTGATAATATCGCTTTACGAAATGAGGGATATCCCTATATTTATAAAACCGAGGAAGTATTAAATTATATATAAGTTAAATATAGAACTTATTTCAAACGACATAGTTTAATAAAATTCTAATTAGATAATAAATATATATGAATAATAAAGTGTAAACAGGCACATAATGCGGATAATGCTATAACATATGTATGTACACAAACGCATAAGATATTATAAATAAGAATGTGATTTATCATTATTCACTTCATCAATTTTTATCGATTTATCTACAAGCTGATAATATCGCTTTACGAAATGAGGGATATCCCTATATATATAAAACCGAGGAAGTAATGATAAAATCTAAGATTAATAATATATCGCTATTAAAAAGAGGAAGTTATGATAAAATCTAAATTTAAGACTTACATATGGATGATTATCGAAATCGATACGAAACTTAATCATTACGTTTCGAGATCCTGGAATATTGTTTAAACTTTCCAAAACTCTAATATTTAATTCTGTATTGTATAGGTCTTTTGCTATTTGAAATAATTGTCCTGTAAGAAAGGTAGAGTTGTATAATACACTATACGTAAAAAAACTTAAAGTCAATTTCATGCACGTTGACGCATTGTAATAATCATGATATTATTAATTTTTTAAACTAATATAAACACAAATAAGAACAATATTAAATATTTACAAACAAAAAATTAAATATAAAAAATTACGCTATAATTTCATTTAATTCACGTAAGATTCTCGGAAAAATATAAAAAAAATATATACCATAAAGGAAAGTGGTCAATTCTCACCCATAAAATAATGCGTAAAGCCTTGTCGAGTACTTCTGTAAACCAAAACAACTCCTTGTGGATCGACATGAGTTGTATACATAGATGGACTCTTCATTTTTGGATATGTAAATCTCATTTGCATGTGAATATTATCAACGCTTTGTAAAAAATCGCAAAAATAACGGCCAGTTGCTTTTATAGTGCAATCGTATCTAATAAAATAAATAAAAACATTGTGTATAATGTAATTGTACGGAGATATATAAAATTTAATAAAATAAATACTTAAGAATTACAAAGATTATAAATTTTTGAAAATAATATTTATATTTTTAATATAAAGATATAAGTATTTTGACATTTGTAGATACGGAAAGTATTTCTTCATTTCATTGATATTATCCGATTAGCTATCGAATATATTAAAATATTATCAACACGATCTACACTTCATTCCTCTCGGCCAATAGAGCCACACGCGATGTAATTGCGACAATTAAGAAAGAAAGAAAATTTGGAAACTTAAAATATTATATTGCTTATAATATTACCTAATCATGTTAATATATTATAATAGACATATATTTTACGAGTTTGGACATTTTATCGATTACATATTCTCAACAATAATTAATAATTTTTGAAGAAATTGTACAAAACTATTGACAATTACATATTATAATTTTCCTCAATTAAAAACTTACCCTAAATTACTAAAAAATCTAACAAAGCATTTTCCAAAAAATTGCATAATGTTATCCACAGAATCGCCAGTATATGTGGCAAGAGCCGCGGCCAAATTGGTCATTAGATCATCCGAATATGTCTGTCTTGTATTAAAAACCATGTGTTTACAATCAGCTTTTTCCAAAATTTGAAGCCACACTTCTTCGCCAAATTCTAACTGTAAAAAATATTTTTTGCTTGCTATTTTTTATCTCATATTTTTCATTATAAATAAATTTTTTTTCTTTTTTTTCTGATTAAATTTATACTTTTTTCTTTGAACTAGAATAATTATACATGTAGAGTACAAGTATATATATGCGCACATGTACAACACATAACATATGCTAAATATAGGATATTGTATGTTAAAGAAGAATATGTATAATAATACGTCGATTAATGTGTTAGATAATTAGTTCCATAGACCAATTTGAAATCGATTCAGATAATCAAGCCAATTTTCCAGCCCACATAGGCCAATTAATGTTTCTTTTACTAGAATGAGAAGCGGTCACGAAAATGAATATATGACCGATAATGAGGAGAGCTTTTAGAAACCATATCGCAAATGAGCACGCAAATTTGCAGATGGAAATGTTCTAATAAACGATTAATTGCATCTATATATGTATAGTATTTTTAAACAATTAATTATAAGCATATATATATATATTTATATAGTATTTTTTAAAATATTTCATATTTTACAAAAATATTCAAAGTTTAAAATTTAAACCAATTTAAATAAAAAAATTAAAGAAATTATACATTAATTTTTATAATTAATATAACTAATTTTAAAAGTTAATATATAATTAATTTTTATAAAAGTTTATATGTTTAATAATGGAGCACATAACTTTAATAACTTTAGCGTTACTGCAGATATTGAACACAAATATTTTATTTATTTAATATTATTATATTATATAAAGAAAATAAAAAAGAATATTATTACATTAAAATATATAAGTATTATATGTTATAATATGTTATGTATAAAATTGGATACCTACAGAGGCATTTAAATAATATGATTAAAAGTGGTGTAAGCAAAGAATATAAACAAGATACTAACACGAATCAATAGTCAACTTTACATACTAATAAAATAATGTTATTTTTAAAACATTCTGAAATTAAAATGTCAAACTAAAAGGAAGTCTTTTACGTTCATCCATATTCAAGTACTTCATTTATTACATATACGAAGCATTTCCTTTGGGGAATACGTGACACACGTTGTAAGTACATGTATCAATTTGGGACAATCCAAGAAAGTAGCGAGACAAAGAATCATGTAAATTTAATTGATTGTTCTAATAATGACGTCAATGAATAAAATAATGTTATTTGTTCTTTCTAATTAACATATTATTTAAATTATTAACTCACAAAATTCATATATAATCACATTTAAATTTGGCAAACTAATGACTTATTAACTTTCAAAGAATTAAAAAAATTTTAAAAATTATAACAAAATTGTATTATAATTTTACAATTGCAACAGTTAACTTTATAAAAAAGTTTTTAGCATTTAATATTTATAATTTTATCAATACGTATGATATAAAAGAGACAGATATATATGGTAATATATCTATTTAAATATAACGTACATATATTAAATCAATAATCTGTATATACCATGAAAATTATTAAAATCTTTCTGCAAATTGGAGCAATCTCTTCATAAAATTCGTTTTATTTTTTTTGCTATATATTCTTCCCCAAATTATAATCACAAAGTAAACAAAGAGACCCTCTATTCAAACAAAAATTGATTGTGTTTGTGTTAGAAACGCTATGTAACGGTCGCACATAAAATATTAAGGTAGATACATTTAACGATAATACGTCTTTTGATGACCTACATTTCATAATTTTTTACTTTAGATAATTACTATATTGTTGTTATTAATTAAAGCTTAAACGTAGAATCAGTATAATAACTAAAAGAAACCGGCAATGCCATAATTAATTACTTAATGTATTAATAAATATTTATTATAACGTTTATATCATTTTTTTAAATATAATTGTATCGAAGAAAAAAGGCATCTCATGAAAAAAATATATAATGTATTATATTTCATCAAAATTTGCGCGCTTGAAAGATAAATGCTTTTTGGCGTAAAAAGGATCGAGTGTACTTCTATGTTAACATGAAACGTGCAAAAAGAGTCCACTTAACGTTGCTAATGAAAGAAAAGGAATATTTTTAAACTGTCAAGTAAAAAAATTGCGCGCAATGATTTAAATATTTTTAAATACCTAAGTGTAAAATCTTATTCTTTTATCACCAAAGCAGTCACAATAACAAACTTTTCAAATTGGATATTTCTAGAAACAGCTGTGCCATTATGTTCTTATAAAACTTATGTGACTAGCTATGTTATTCGCAATAAGAAGAGTTAGAACTTTAAATATAAAAAAACAAATACAGCATTGTTTAATAACTATAAAATGAACAAAACAATAAATTAATAATATTTAAACTTTAATTTTTAAATACAGTCTATTTAAATATGATTAAGAGAATAAAAAGGTAGTAGTTTTGATTTAATGAAATATTAATAAAAATGTATTTCTATATAATTAAATATTTCCTGCAAAAATTATGCCAACTTATAAAATAAAATAAAATATTATGCAAAATTACTTGGCATTATTAACTTTTATTATAAAAAACATTTGGGATAATAACATAAAAAATCAATATGTTTGCAACACATCAAAATTAATACAATAGTTACATAAGTTAATTGATTTATAAGAACGTAGATATTTGAGAATCGCTAGACAAAATTTAAAAAAGGTAAAAATCTTCTCTCGACCGTACTGGCAAATATTATTTATTCAATCACAACGTTTCGACCCTTCTTTGAGTCCTTATCAAGTGATTTGTAAAAATAAAAATAAAATTGTAATTCTAAAATGTCAAGAACGAACATAGTGTCGGTTTGACAACACGTCAAGACTCTTAGACGAGTTATTGGAGACTGAGTTATCAGTTATTACATACAATTTTATTTTTATTTTTACAAATCACTTGATAAGGACTCAAAGAAGGGTCGAAACGTTGTGATTGAATAAATAATATTTGCCAGTACGGTCGAGAGAAGATTTTTACCTTTTTTAATTGATTTATATCACTGATTTCTCTTGCATTATGTATTGCTGTAATATAAAATAAAAATATTAAAAATTATTTTCTCAATAATATTAAAATTTAGTTTTTGTAATCTCTCATGTGCATATATCATTATAAATAATTTTAAAAACAAAATAAATTAATAAATATTAAATAAGAAATTTTAAATAGAAAATAAAATTACCGTAAAGGGTAAAAATAAAAATTTAATATAAACTTAATTATTTTTTAAATTATAGATTACAAATGAGATATGTATCTCAAGTTAACTAAATACATAAATGCCAGTTCTATTATTCTCACTTTACCGACCTGCACAAAATATTGCACACTTTCCAGCAGCATTCCATACATCTTGACACGCTCACGAATTTCGTTCTAATTGTAAGCGTTTTATTAATTAAATTGCGGAAATATTCCGTAGAAATATTTAGCGAATTTATAACAAAGTTTCTTCGCGATTTTACAGCACTTGCGAAGGAAAATCTTCCGCATTGTTTTACAAAACTTGCTTCGTCGCAATCACGACATTTGAAGACAAATGCTTCGCGCCATCAGGATCGCAAACCATGTGCCCAGTGGCATCTGAACAATAGGCCTTCTCTTGATGCAGAGGAGAGAGGGAAAACCGTATGGCGCACAGAAAATCCAGTTTCGACTGTGGCTGGAGGGTTACTCAGCCAGGATAAGTTGAACAGATCAACGTGGTGCGTGCGCAGACTGCATGTTCTAGAGGCGTTCACACCTGAATGTTCCGAATAATAAACACTCGACAAAAGGGTTCAGTCAAGAGCATATTGACAAAAAAGATTGTTTAGTTGATAATATTTTGTCAATAAAAAAATATATATTTAATATGTAAATTATATCAACGAGAGAGAAATCTATATAAGTATAGTAATATGAGAAATATAATAGCTCTATGTGACTAATATATGTGATTTTGTAATGTTAATTATTATATGAGGGAATCAATTATAAAGCATATGTATCAAAATAAATTTCATTAATATAATTTTGTGTAGCTGAACATTTTTAATTAATATTTTAATGTATTACAATATAAAATTATTTAAAAATGTGATAGGTATATGTATAGCTTTAAAATATATGGTTTAATAAATTTGAAAAAATATTTTAAGAAGAATAAGTTTCAGATACACAGGTTGTGACAGGTCTTTTATATATATAAGCGACTGAAAAGACGAATGGAATTTATTGACTTTTATATATGGGATGCGACAACACGCTTTCCATGCGGAAGAAGTGATATCGTAGCCAGTCAATTTTCTATTACATATCTGTCATTTTGAAGAAGAAATATTGACTAAATGATCATTTTTTCATATGAAAAGTTTTGTTTTATTAATAATATTAAAAATATCGATACAGATTCGTACTTTTGTACTTATTATTAGTCTGATGCTGCATTATCTCTTGATAAATTTAAACGACCGTAGTAAGAATCACATTAAACTCGTTCACAGATGACATACGTCAAGCGTTTTTTCAGCATCATCATATTACTCCGGTTTCTGCTCAGTAATCATTGAGAAGAGTCTGATAAAGGCGTACGTAGAGACGTCGCGTGACGAGTATTCTTACCACGTGTTGGCAAAAGGAATGTGGCAGTCGGGTTCTCACACAGAGAAATATATGCGTATGTGTATACCCTCGTATACGTACACATTTAATGTCGGTAAACTCATGCGCCGCTGGTCGACAGTGAAAACGTAAATATGGCCGCGGAAAGTAGCGACGGTTTGCCAATATCCCCGTCCGAGAAATCGCTCACCGGTAGCCTCGCATCTGATGAAAATGAGAAAAGTGTCTCGCGTTCGCCATCGAGTTACTCTATACGGGAGGACAAATGGCCGGACCTAGTCGTGTCTAGACCCAGAAAGCTGGATGCCTGGTGGTTGCCGAGACGTGAGTACATCGAACATTAGGTGTTTGGTGCATGCTCCCACGATTCGGCGCGCTCTTCAAAAGTACGCGCTCGCGGGCTCAGCTTGGCGCCCGCGTAATAAACGCGCGTAAACATACTGTGCGCGCACATGTGTATTTTTATTAAAAATTATTAATGTGCCAGTTAGATCTACAAATCACTGCAAGATAGAATTCATTCGAATACATCTACGTAATTACATCGAATGTCAAATTTTAAACGACTGAAATGAATCTGTCACAAAGATAATGACAGAAAAGATATATTATTCTGATACATTTTGATAATAAATAACATTATTTGACAGATCTATATAGAGGATTTGTGAAAAATAAGGTTTTGATAATTTGGGAAACATGAATTGCGTTTATGCGTTTCTGATCCAATTATTTAAGTTTTATATTAGTTATAACAAGTTCTGTGTTATTTTGACTGCATATATATATATATATATATATATATATATATATAATACATTGCTCTGTCTCTATTTATAATATTCTTAAATAATTTCATAAATAATGGTTAAAATAGATTAACTCTATTATTATATTTATTATATTTATTATTCCATTTTGGATACATAACTACTTTCATTAAATTTGATATTAGATTTCCTTTTAACATCTCTTTCTACTAAATATTTATGATTATAATAAGCAGTTTTTTCGATACATTAATTTGTCCTTCAAACGTTTAACCAATTCGTTGACCAAGTCGTTGACCAATTCTCCAGTTGTATCTCGAATGATAACACATTGGCACGAAAACAGTGATATATATATATATATATATATATATATATGATATCACATTGCTAATTCTTGACATGTGCGCAGTTATTTACTGTGATTATAACAAATCGAACCAGGAAAATAATTAAAGTATGACATATTAGACAGATTAATAGTAATATAATACATTAATAACGCTTATGTAAATATTTTTAATGCGCAATTATTTACTGCGTGATTATAACAAATCAAACCAGGAAAATAATTAAAGTATGACATATTAGACAGATTAATAGTAATACAATACATTAATAGTGTTATGTAAATATTTTAATGCTGGTTTTTTACAATTACGTGCGTAATTATTTATTTAAGTGTGATGTAAACAAATATAAAAATATTAAATTGTTTATATTATTAAATTCTCAATGTAGAAGAGACCTGCATTTGCATCTGTGATTCAGTAATAATATAATTGATAAAAAACTGATAAATAAAATTTAATAAGACAATGTTAAAATGTATGTCTTACAGAGTATCATTTTTATACTGTTGTATATAATTATATATAAAAGTATTCGAAACCTTTTTGTAACGATTAAATAAAATCTTTAAATATTGCTCGAAATATTTTTTTTTACTATTTAACTTTTGCTTATAAAAATTTTTGTGGATGAATTTAATTGCTGGCTTATGTCATTGAAGCAATACGAAGTTACTGTTATATCGGTAGAGCAATCCAGAATGGCAATCTTGATGGCAGCACTACGCAGCACTGCGCAGTGGTATCCGTATTGATTTTTGTAGGTGGAGACAAAGTCAGCGGGAAAATCAATATTACATGTCACCGACATTCTCGTTATCTTCGACGTGAAATTTCCTCGCTCGACACTAGTACGATTTCTAAGTCATTTTTTACAGTACATAAATTTCTGGTTTATCTACTGTTTTGTGAAATACTCGTGGAACTACAATGTAGTTTCATTGGTGTGCATTCATCGTTTCTGCGTCGCTTAAGCTGAGATTTTATTTGCCGTTCCTTCGATATCTTCAGCGCAACTGAATCTATCCTTATCAAGACAGATATTTGCCGCTAATAATATCAGCGAAGAATGGTTAAAGGATAACACTTGAAAGCAATGACAAAAGAAGAGCAATACAACTAGTAGATGCAAATTTCTATTTCTTGTTACCGATAACATAAAGCTTGACTGCAACATATCAGCATTTACTGGTGACTCATTCATTGCGACACATTTTTCCATCAGCTGATCGATGTAACTAGGGAAGAAGAAAATACTCTACATTATACAATATTATGAGCCAATCTTGAATATTACGCATAGACTAACAAATGTATATATATCATAAAAGAGATATATTGATGAACAAGTTCAACGCTCATTGTTTATTAACTATTAATGAGAAAGATCTAGTTCTGATAAATAAATAATTTTCAAACCAATCTACAGTTGAAAATTATCATCAAAAGAAATAAAAGTTTATGCAAATCAAGAGCTCTCTTCTGTGCAAGTGAACGATTATCGAAAGATATCGTGCGATCTTCAGAATTGAGATAGTGACGGCAGAGGAGGAATCGTCTTCTATGCGGCAAGAATCCTTGACTAGTTTGAAACTGCGGCCACCGGGCGATCACGGTGGTGTACATCACGGCGGAATCATGTTGGAAGAAGATATGGCTGGTGCACAGGACACCATATATCTGTGCAATTTTCGAGTGTCGGTAGACGGCGAATGGCTCTGTCTAAAGGAGCTTCAGGATGTCGAGTTCTCGCTACAGGACTCGATGCAGCGGTCACCATCACCACCGCTTGCACTTAGTGGTATTAATTATCATCATGATCATCATCATCATGAACAACAGCTTCCCGAAGAACGAGAGCTTCGCGATATTATGCCACCAAGTCCACCGCCATTGCAGCACGTCTCCAGCTTGTGTCTGTACTCGATGTTGCACCTGTTTTTTTTAATTAGGGGAATATATCGAATATATATATTTTTGGGGAATATATATATTTTTTATCAAATTCATTTTTTTTCTTTTGTTTGGCAAGACGTAATTCATTGTTGACGTATTTATACCGTGTAACAAACAGAAAAGTAATTGCTTTTCTTGCTCACAACGGGAAAAATATTTATTTCTTTTTATTACGCTTTCGTGTTGTCGCTTTAAACGGAATGCATTTTTTATAGCAGTAAAATTGTTGCAAACCTTGGCTTGCGATTCCATATATATGTTACTACTTTTATTTAATTTTTATTTATTCTGGAGAGTACAAAAAAATTTAATTCATATTTTGCTATGCAAATATTCTAACTTTATATGTAAATTTTAATAATCTTACAATTAATTATTAAAAATATATTTTATATTCAGGATATTTACTGTTGAAAATTTATTAATGCCGTTTTTCTAAATATTGACGCGGGAAATTAATTGAAATTATTACAAATTAGAGCAAACACGTATTGTTTTTGCAGCACGGGATCCGGTGATCATCGAAAGAAGTAATCTCGTTAACATTTCAAAACTAATTGTCAAGGAGCTGATTGAAACGTCTTTGAAATATGGTCGTATGCTTGATTCTGATCACATGCCATTGCAACATTTTTTCATCGTTCTCGAACATGTGCTTAGGCATGGTTTACGGCCGAAGAAGGTAAAGCTTGCCGTCATGTGGTCAGCAGAACAATTTTTTACGTTGGTATTAACAGTCTCCGATTTCAGGGTCTTCTCGGACCCAAGAAGGAGCTGTGGGATATTCTTCAGCTCGTAGAGAAATATTGTTCCGAAGCACAAGATATTACATCCAGCATTCGTGATTTACCTACTGTTAGGTAAATCACTGCATACTTCTATTTTGAAAGTGTCATATACATATTTATTTAATTAAGTTTATCTATGAATCGATATACATATATATGATTGATTAACAATATATTTTTTGTATTTGTGTGATTGTGAAAACAGAATACGTACATTTTAATTTTTTGTTAAAAAATAGTATAATATAGTTTATCAAATAAGTCTCTTTTAGATATTTTTTAAAATTATGTTTTTTCAAAAGAGTTTTCTATTATTATTTTCAACATTTTTTATTGTTAGCATTTAAACAAGAAGTTTTCTTTTTACATTAATTCAGAATTAGTTTTAAATTATATTAATAATTATCTATTAATTATTTTTATAATTAAAGTTTGTGATTTATTAATATTTTGCAAATTCTCGATTTGGAGAACATAGAATCACTATTTTGAATCACTATTTTCAGGACGGCTATGGGTAGGGCGCGTGCTTGGTTGCGTATGGCATTAATGCAAAAGAAATTAGCGGATTATCTCAAAGTGTTAATAGACCACAAAGATGATATTCTATCTGAATATTTTGAACCAGATGCTCTGATGATGAGCGAGGAGGCAATCGTAGTGATGGGTTTATTAGTTGGATTAAATGTGATTGATTGCAACTTTTGCGTAAAGGTCAGTCTAGATTAATGTCACGTCTTTCACATACCTGAAAGTGTATCTGTTTGGCCAGAGCAATAATAATATTAAGCCAAGGTTTTAACTATTGTAACAGGAAGAAGATCTTGACTGTCAGCAGGGCGTAATCGATTTTTCATTATATCTGCGTAACAGCAATCATATACCTGGTGAATCTCCAGATGATGAACTCGAAAATGACAATATGACTACAGTGCTCGATCAAAAGAATTATATCGAAGAGCTCAATCGACATCTAAAGTAAATATCTAATTTTTTGCAAATATTGAGCAAAGACTTTCGCATATACATACACGTATGAGTATTCGATGCTCAAAATTGATATTTTCTGTCAATTTTAGTGCAACAGTAACGAATCTCCAAGCTAAAGTAGAATCTCTCACGACAACAAATGCTCTTATGAAAGAAGATCTCGCTATTGCTAAGAACAATATTTTATCGATTCAAGATGAGAACAGGCAATTAAAAAAGGAACTTGGTATAGAAGTTAAAGACGCAAATGAGGTATATATATTATACATGCAAATACATGCGCGTTTCATATATATTGTAGATTGGTCTGTTATTGAAAGATCGATCTAATTTCAGAACGGAAAAGTACCTCTTAAAATAACAGAAACCACAGCGGAAATAGAAGAACTTAGAAGCAGAGTAGAATCTGAAAAGAAATCTCGACAAGATTTAGAGAAAGAACTGGAATTGCAGGTTAATAAGAATGCATATCCTTTTTTACAGTGATATTACAGATGAGTGATAACTCTAAATAAATTTTCAACAAATTCACAAATTTAAAAAAATATAGAAAAATAAAAGTGTAAAATTGATTAGTAATGTATTTTTTTTTATACAGATTAGCATGAAATCCGAAATGGAAGTAGCTATGAAATTGTTAGAGAAGGATATACATGAGAAGCAGGATACTATAATATCTTTAAGGCGACAACTGGAGGATATCAAATTAATCAACTTGGAAATGTACAAAAAGCTGCAGGTGGTATAACTTGCAACTATTATGAAATAATTTTTTAGTTCCCGTGATATAGCATACTTACATAGTATCTATGATTTCAATTATTGTATTAAATTGAATTAATGATAAATTATTATTGTAGTTATCTGACCATTTGATATCTATATGAGAAGATACTGTGCTTATATTTCTAAAGTAGTAATGTTTTTAATAAATTTGTCTATTTTTATTTAGAAAATTATTCGTTTAACGTAAAGTATATAAATTTTCTGTGATAAATGATTTATAAATTAATATACAAATGAATATACTGTATCACGGTTTTGATATATAATATACATTTAGTCTTATATACATAATTACATCGCCTATAAAATGCTTTAATCGAAGAATTTATTTTTTAATAGTTATCATGATAGTTACAGTATAGAACTTTTTTCGTGTCATTCCGTATCATATTTTATCAGTATTTTTGCTAATAATTTAATATTTCAGCCACATATCTGTTAGCGAATAATTAAGTTGCATCTTATATGCAAAATAGATTATTACTGCATTAGCGTATTTAGGTGCTTTTTTTGTATCTGCTGAAAATGATGGCAACTTTTATTTCGCCGGAATCTTTTCTGTCAGAGAGGATTTTGGCAAGCACATAAATTTTCCGTTTCTGGACATATTTCAATTGTAGGAGTGTGAGCATGAGCTGACACAAAAAGGCGAGATGGTGAGCCGTCTTCACGCGAAGACCAATCAAATCGGCAAGATCCTTAACAACCTCGAGAAGTATAATCATTTGATGAAGGACGGCGAAGGTAGAAGCCCTACCACCCCAGGTGGTATTGCGAAATCTATTCTTAATAAGACTAGCCCCATTACTCCGAGAGGGTGTCCATCCGCGGAAAATGCGTCCGCTCGACCGACGATCGATCATCAACGCTCCTTTGAGCAATCATCGAAAACATCTAATAATGACAAATTGAAACAGAGTCGTTCTACCTCCGAGATAACGAATAATTCAAAGATCGAGCAAACTGCGAAAGAATAAAGAGAGCCTACTCTTAGAATGTGATTAATTCCACAGCAGATGATTCCACACTTCAAATATCGCGGCTATTCGATGTATTGCACACGAGGCATACATTTTGTATACATACCCATCTACAGGGTTGTGTAAAATTGTTTTGTCAACTTTCAACTTATGTTTTGCGCATAGCACGTTGTCATCTATACTTAACATTTGTTCAGTGCTCTGTTTGAACATTTATTGGCATTATTATACTGACAAAGCACGTATAATTATTATGGTGTAACGAAATGATTTAGTAGATTACGCTTTTCTGAGATCGAATTATATTGATGCTCGATTTAAGACGGTGCAGACTGTTACGTTTAAGACAATAATTCTCTAGAAGTTTTTACAATATCACAATATTTCAATTGTATATTTATATATATTTTCTACGGAAACAATAATTAATTACAATTTGTTAAATCAATAATCCTGATTATAACGTTTTGAGATGTACTTAAGAAACATTAATCTGTTTGCAATAATAATGTGAAAAAAGAGAATAGAAATGATACAACATTTGGTATAAATTATTTTTATAATCTTTATTAATTTAATAAAACTTATTAAAATTACAATGTTCTACGCGAATCAGAAATTTAATATATATATACATATATATATTTTTAAAATAAATTCTAATAAATTTTAAATTATTCGTCGATCATGATTATTAGTAATACTATAGATGTAAGATAAACAGATTTACAGAACTTTCGTATGAAATTTAAAGAAACATTTTCAAACATTTCGTTACATCATATTTTGTAAGATATTATAAATCTTATGTATGTGACAAATATTATATTGCAAATTGCAAAACATAAACAATGTATATATCAACTCTATTAAACTCGTATTATCATATGTCTATCATTATGGAAATAATTTTCAAATTAATATGCATTATATTGCATTATTTCAGGTTTATTTGTAGAAATTTGGACAAACATAATTGTCTTTTTCGTTTGAATTCAATAAGTATTTATTTCAGGAGTGCGAAGGCTCGCTTAAGCATAAGACAGAACTGATCACAAAACTGGAAGCTAAAACACTATCGATGACTGAGACCATCCAGAAAATGGATGAGAAGTATGTTTATTTGTCTTTCATTAGCATTAATTAACTTATAAGTGTAATTGAAATTATATGCAGATCAAATTGTTTGAGATTAAAAATAGCGCCCGTAATATAATAATTACAAACATCAAAAGAAAGTTCCATGCTTCCTAGTATCTTGGATTTCTATACTCATTGTTAGACATTAACTTTTTTTCCTAAGTAGCTTGTCTAATCAACTTTATTAATAGAAAAATTTCATTGATGAGCCAGCTTTTTGTTTAATGGATTTTTAATGAGAATTTTCTTATATAATGAGCGCAACATTATAATTGAAATAATTGGATCAATATTTTAATAGTATATCAATGTTATAGAGCGAAAGGTCTCTTTAAAAAACAAATATCTACGGATAATAGAGATAATATTTTCAAAAATTTAGCAAAAGTTTAGCTTTGCTCAACTTGCAAAATATTTCAGAAATCGGGTCGTATTTTTGCAGTAAATAATTATTATTCTATTATAGAATATATATTTATTATCTGTTTTATGCATTTATTACTCTTTCCAGTTAGCAATTGCGCATCTAATCTATTGAAAATGCAAACAATGTAAACTTTTTTTGATATGTACATGTATATTGTAAGATATTTCGTGTATTGTTATTTTAATTTTCTTTTACGGAAAATGTAAAGAATAATTTTTTAAAATTATATAGTTACACATATTAAATTTATCACAGCAATTATGAAAAGGGCTAATACTCGTATTTGTTATACGCTTTGAAATTTTTCAAAGCTAAGTCAATTGTTATCAAATATTGTGTCGTTATATTAGTATTATTAATTGATGAGATATGTAAAGGATTTGTAATCCTTTTTCCCATCGAATTTCTCGCGTAACGTTACTATTTCTGAAGGGTTAAAGATGTGGCTCCACGTTACCGAAATATTTTAGCAGGCATTATTTACATACAAATATAATCGTTATGATAAGAATTTTCTATCAATTATCGCTACAGTATTCTGATATGATAGCGAACGGTCGTACCAATAATTAAATTACACACGCACGTCGATGGACAGCTCTAGTTAGAAATGATTTATTTTCTACTTAGATGTCGCGAATATGATCAGATTTAGATAAGATAGATTATAAAAACGCGAAGGAAATATAAACTCTTATCATCATGGAGATATTGGCAAACCTTCACTATAAATGGTGGCTACTCTACAAATAGTTGTACCAATAACTAGTTGTGTTAATATTGTGTCGAAACATATTTTAAAGTCTTTCGCAATAATCGATAAATTTATATGACATAATTATATTAATAAAGTACATCAATGCTATTACGGAAGAAGAACTATTTAATGGAATATTTAGTCATTAAATCTCATATCAATAATTTCTCTATGATATGCAAAAGAAAAGTGAGTTTCTCATTATCATTGTGCTCGTCTTTCATCATTTAATATTATATTATTAAAGAAATATAACATATTATATTATTAAAGAAAATGATATAAATAATATGTGTATCTAAATTAAAATGCTTATTTTAATCAATCACTCGCGTTTAAGGAACTAATCGTCTTTGATCTGCGATCATTCTTGTCATCTGTCATCAAATTATTTTATTTTCATGAAATTATTGATTTCACAATTACATGACAATAGCTCCTCGAACCAATTAAATTATTACATTATCAATATTTGTAATTGACATCCTCATATAAAATATTTTTCGAAATAATAGGTATATTTTATTGTCAAAAGTAAAAAAAAAACATTCAGTGATGATTAAACGTGCCATATCCATATATTATTGATACAATTAAGTACTCATATAAGCCTCGCGCAATTGACATTATACGTATTTTAACACTACGTGTGCTTGTGTATCAACGCTGCGAAAATAAATTCATAATAGAAAAACAGTGTGCGGTTTGTTTATTCCAGAACCGTACATTAGACGTAAGGTGCTACGACTTAAAAGTAGAGAGAAAGTTTATTAGCTTATCTTTTTTTAATATGTAAATTATTTATAATTGCTGAATAAAAAATTTGTTTTACTTACTTTCGAATAGTAACTGATAATAATATACAATAATCTTGTAAGGTAAGTTATGTCCATAACATTACCAATAAAATTGTAAATTAATCGGTTTATAAACGGTTTTTTGGTATTTTCTTTAATTTGTATGTGAAGAGAATATGCAAAAATATGTATCTATTTTTTTAAATATTTGGACAATATTTTATGTAACTGGCAATTATATTAATATATGTATTATTAATTATAAACATAGATTTTCTGGATTGGCACTTTTGCATCTATTTCGTAATTTACTCGTTGCTATTGCGTTTTAAAAGTATATTAGTAATAAAATTTTGTTTCTGAATACATATTTTATGTAAAAGAATAAAATCATTTATGTATACGTATATGACGATTATTAATTTGCAAATTTTAATTTTTCGTTTTTATGCGATCGCAAAACAGTTCCTTAAATGCGTTTTCCGATAAATAAATTTTTATTTACTTATAACGTGTTTATGACGCAGCATTGATTTTGACCTATTTAAAAATAAATGTGCAATATTTTTAACCATATTTTAAACATGTAATATGAAAATGTTATCTTTTATGTTAATAAATAAATATAAGCAGTAAATCATACGCAAATTAAACGAAACGTTACTTGATGACGAATTTATAAGAGATAAAATCGATATTATTTGACAGTTCCATTTTGAATGATCATCTTATATGTAACATCATGCGTCATTCACACTCATTATCACATCTTTGAAACGTTAATATAAGTCTAAAGCAAAGTATGAGTTATATAAAAATCGTTGATTTAATTGAACGATATGATTTTCGGACGGTACGGATAGGAATTTTATATCTTCGACCTTTAAGTATCATTGATTTGACTTAATCAGGTGCAAGGAGATGGATGGTGTCAGATCGGGAGCGGAGGAGAAGGTGAGAGTCCTGGGCGCCGAGGCTGCTGAACGGGAAGCGCGGACGAATGGGGTCGAGAGGGAATTGCGACTCGAGCGCGAATGGAGAACCTCCTTGCAGGAAACATCGATCTCTAACACGGAGAAGATCTCTCAATTACATCAGGAGATCGATCAGTTGAAACGGGTGTCCGAGGTACATGCGTGCGATCTGTATTGCCTTTTAAGGATACTTCGGCGAATAAATCTCACGGTTACGTTATCGTAGTAAGCTCGAAAAGGAAAGCTTCGCGGAAAACGCGCGGCGATTTAATCTTTTTCTATTTAAATCCCATTCCGAGACCTGCCAGCATGGATTATAAGCCTGCATCTAATTCAATCGACGAAGCGTTGTCGAGATTTATTCGTCTATCGATTATAGAACTGACGAGTAAGTATTTGCGCATTGCTATCCTGAAATAGATTTATTAGATTTATTTGAATTGTCCAATTTTTCTTCACCTCTGCACGGATTCCTAAAATAATATGCGCGCTCTTGGCCTTTTGGCTTTGTTGAATAAAAATTAATTAATTATAATTGTGATACAGTGGAACAATATCATTCACCGAGTCCATTCAAATATAATCATACTATGATTAATGTATTGAGCATGAAACTTTACCATTTTCCAATTTCAGAAGGTAAGATTTAAAATCAGACTTTAATAAATAAAGCTACTATAAAAAAAACTGAAAATTATATCAGGAAAGCAAGAAATATTTAAAACATAATTGAAAAAGTGTGAAAAAATAATTTATAAAATTGATATAAAAAAAACATATGTATATTACATATAAATAGATCAGAAATTTTTAGATTATCTAAAAGCTTTTCACGTAAATCAACATGTTAAATATCAATTTCAATCAGTATATTAATTATTAGGTGACAATTTTGCAAGCTCCATTTGCATGTCGCAACATTTAGTCCACTAGAGCGTCGATTTAATAATACGCGACAACGAACGAACGAGCAAATACATAAACGTTCGATAATCGCAACTGGGTATTCCGTTGTTCCAGAAATACTTGACGCTGCAGGAAGAGTATTACGCGCTGAAGGAGGTGTGCAGCGAGCAGGAACGAACTCTGGAGGAACTTGGAGGACAATTGAGCGCGGCAAAATTAGCGGCGGTCGAACTGCGCGAGGCCGCTGACAACGCTCAACAGCAGCAGCAGTCAGCGTTGCAAGAGGGCTCGGTAACCTGGGCGAACGATCGGCTGGTCACCCAATGCAAGGGGTGCAGTCGTGAGTTCAACATGACTCGTCGCAAGGTAATCAAAGTTTTTAATTGCTCCCACGCCTTCGTAACCTCCCTTATCCTCCTCTCCCTTTCTTTCCAGCTTTCCGTCCTAGTCCCGGCTCCTTCGCGAACCACCCTTTTCTGTCTCTCCTTCTCGCCCTTCCTTCTTCGTTCATCCGATCTATTCACGGAACTGGATTCGCGCGGAGAGCTCGGCTGAAAGCGCGGCGCACTGTACGTAATTGTTCAATTATCCCCGCCGTTCTGGAAATTACTGCTTTCCCCGATGCGGATTCTCCGGAGCTCGCGGGAGGAGACAAGACGAGGCGCGCATTAAATGACCACGGTCGATCGACTCCGTGGCAGGGCCCGTCGGCATCTCGGGGATACACCTACCCTCGGCGGAAGATCTTGATGGTGCCGCGAGAGAGCTGCTCGCTCGTCAGGTCGTCAGGATCTCGAGAGATCGGAATCGCTTCTCGCGCGCAACAACTTTGATGCACGACAGTCGTATTATTAGAGATAGCGGGCTATCGCGCGTTGCTCGGACTAGCAATTACACTTAAAGGCTTTCGTTTACCTAACTTCCCCCTTTATTAAATCGCGATAAATCGTAATGAGAGCCGGAATTTGCGGATAGATAAGAGCCGGTTGAGGGATTAGCGGCTTAAACAAGTTCTCGAGCGTGTTAAGCACCGCGCCGTAACGCTTTTTAATTCGCTCATTAGAGTGAAGACGTGTCGCGTTACATGGCAAAAGCGCTGGATTTCCCTCTTCTGGAATCCTTCCCCTGGAGCTAAAGCTCCGGCGAAAACCGCCGCTTCCACATTTTTCGAATCACCGCGCCGCCACGTAAATATGTATAAGCGCTTAAAGTATTCCCCAAGATCTGATCGTTCCGTTCGTTGCAGTTGCGTGCATCGATAAGGGAAGCGCGCGGCCAACGGCGAACGTATTCGTGCATTCGTCATACGGATAAATTCCGTGGCGGAATTTATGCGCTCGTCAGGACTTTATCGAAATTTTGCGGACGTGCGCGATAAATACGGTTCACCGGAGCTCGTCGACGTCGCGCTAATCGTTGATTAGCGAGTTGATTCACCGCACAGTCGCGAAAGCTCCGCGAAAGAATCGGGTCGTCGCGTGCAATTTGACGTCTCGTCTGTCATCGGCGTGACTGACCGACTTATTGATCTCGCATGTGTCTTTACGACTTTGTAATTGTTATACGAAAAGAGAGAAAACAATTTTCGTTTAGCCCTAATCTCTTAATGGATCGTTACATTTGTCAAGTATATATTTTTGACGTCTTTTCTCCTGCTATCTCTTTCGGAATATCCAATTAGAAATTATTGCATCATCACCCGACATACATTCGTGATTATGCGTTGTGCATGCATCGTTCGCATGCATATTCAGTCGACGATGTGATAGAGACGTTGCTCGTCCCATAAAATACATTAGACTGGTATTCTCTTGCTTTACGTAGCCCGACGGTTCGAAGAATACGAGGGGGGTTGAAAGGTGGGCGCAGGAAAGGGTGGTAAGTTATTGCATAATAACAAGGCTGTGCTCGGGTATCCTTGTTACTCATTTTTCGCCCCGTAGGTGTATTACCATACTGTTTAATATAGAATAGGCCACCCGTGGCACGACCAGATGTGTGAGTGGAATCGTGCCAGTGGGCAAAGCAACCCTCTTTGCTGGCAGGTGCGCAACGAAGAAAGAACCGTAGGTGGAAACCTTCGAAAGGTGTATGGGCATGTTTGTGGAGAGGGGGATAAAAAAGACCGAGCGGTCGCAAACCTTCGTACTTGCAACATGCAAAAGCAGGCAAAACAATAATTTTTCTTCCATATAGCTCCGTCCGACTCGGTTGACCACGTTGTGAGACGATAAATTCGCATTCCCAGGCTTTCCAAGTGCACACACCGACATTGCTTTGTACAGTTCGCAAGGATTGTGGATATTTTGAATTCGCTATGACGTTAACGAGCGGCGCAAAACTTTTCTCGTACCTATATTTCATGCATCGCCGAGCGCTTTGATTCGTTCCCAGTAACAGCAAATTACGACAGTCAAGTTTCATCCTATGGTAACCGCGTATAAAAATTTCCCAACAGATGAAATTAGTTCGAATCAATAAATAATTTAATATGTTAAACACGAATGCCAATTTGTATCTATAAAATCAAAGCAATGTATATATATTTGTTTAGAAATGATTAAATGTCGTTCCTTTAAAGCAAACTTTTTCTCTTGAGCCCTAGAAATAAAAAGTATATTTATTTATTAGAAAATATCGCGTGAGATATTATATTACGTGAGATAGCAATAATGTTACACTTGCGATATTGGATCATCATAAGCAATATCGAGTCGTGTGCAGATGCTGATAAGTGAATACCGTTTGCCGTTACGTGCATAGATGCGGCAATAGAATGGCATCGTCTAGTAAAAATATTCCATTATGGATTGCATAAATTTCAAGCAAAATAAAGAAAGCATATATTAAATAACGCAAAAATATACATATTTTAAAAATGTTTATTTTCTTTCTACGTGCTAAAATTAAAATTCTTTTCACTCTATTTGGAGATGAATTATGATACAATTTATGATAATGCAATTATCTTAAATCATCACTTAACGTTGCGTTTCTTTATTTTCAATATCAATAATAATTGGATAAAAGAAAATTTGTCTGGAATATATTAACAGTCAAATATATTAATTATGACAGAGATTGATAAAAGACTACAATTGCAAAATAAGGAAAAATAAGATTTTCGTTCGCTGTTTCATCTATGAAAATAAATAAAGAGCGAGCAATAGCATTTGCGTTCTTCTTAACTCTTAACTCCAGAAACGCAAACTCATTTCCCTGCTCATGCGATTGCATAAAAGTGAGTTTGCCTGTCTGCTCGATGTTGTGCGCGCTACAAAGGCAAAAGCTGCGAGATCTCGTCTCTTCTCGATGGTTTACCGCAGACTTTCGCGTCCGCGCCAAAGCGAGTCATCTTCCACGGAATAATGTATAGATCGCTACGGCCAATCATACGCCCGACAGTATCTCTCAGATCTGATCTCTCAGACTGATTTATTCGTCTTGGAAAGTATCTATCACGGTTAAGATAAGGCGTGCTTGAGGTACGCCGGTACGTAGTTGCAGGCACCAATCTACTACGTCCCGGTCGTAAGTCATGCTGATGGGACGGTTCAATAATTAACTTTGCGAGGAAATCGGTTATCGGGACGATATTATTCGGGCTCTTACTTTCCGGTAATAACCGGGCAACCCGCTTTTCCCTCGGTACGCCCGCATCCTCTCACGCTAAGGAGGGAACGACGATTCGACCGTCTCACTTAAGGGATTCAATTTAGATGTAAAATTTAGAATCGTGGTCGCGCACCTCGGTCCCGCGCCGTTATTTCTCTTTCGGCTTTCAGAGTACGAATACCACATTATTATAATAGACGGGCGGTAATGGCTCGAAAATGAAGACTACCCGGTAATGGGGAAACGAGGCGCAGAGACGAGGGTGCAAAATAAACACGAAGACGGACCGCGCCGCTTTCTGCCTCCCGTCGCGACTTGGAAATCTATGTGAATTGCACGCGCGATGAATCAATGATAAATTCCCTACGTTTATTTTAGAAGAGAGCTAGCTGCGCGTTTTCGAAACATTGGGGGATGAATTGAATAATGCAGACTAGTATTGACAAAACTGAATATTGTATAATATTTGCTTTCGACTATAGTATCCCTTCGCATTTTGTTTCTCGTATTCATGATTCGGCGAAAAAGTGCGATGCTTCTACAAAATCGATGCGCAAAATATTATTTCAATCTCGTAACATTATCCTCGTTGTTTTAAATCCGTCCAAGTCACTTTCCAGTTTACCAGTCAGTCCTGTTCCGTGTCCGTCTATGCCTCTGTAATCTAACGACCCTCACATGGAAATGACTTGTATAAGAAATACCGCAAAAAGTATTAAGCATTCTCTTACCTGAAGTTGACGCGCGGACAATAGTATCCCTGGCGTTAAGTGCAAAAAGTTCTGGTCGTTGTGTCCGCGTGCCAGCTTCAGGTACGGGCATGCACTTTTTTTGACCCGCAACGAGCACACGTAATCCGTAACTACGAACTACGTTACAAAGCTTTTTACTTTTCAGAATATGGGACTGAGACACAGCAACTCATCGCTTTATGTGTTGCGAAGTTATTATCGGTTTAAAAATTTCAGTAAAATCCTAGAATATATAACTATATTTAGAGTTAGTTAAAATATACCATGTTTACATCGCATCGAGATAATCAATATCTTATTTTTGCTTTTCGATAAAGGTTCTAATAATTTACATTCGCTATTTAAATATCACTTGCATTATCTCGTAACATTGGATTGTCTTCAAGAGCGTAATTTTAGATAGCATATTAAAGCATCAATTATTAAAATGTTTGAAGTTGCCGATTATGAGGGTATATTTTAAGAATATTACGTCTATTTAAGAATATTTTTCTTTAGCTTTACTTTTTAATTTTATTTGCAAATATATTCTTTCTACTATTTATATAAAACAAATCTAAAGTTCGATAATTATTTCTCTATTTTTTAAAAATAAATATTAATATAAAAATATTGACTTTTTTAATTTATATATTTATGCATTGTTTGCGATAAATAATGTCTTTTCAGATATTATATTTTATCTCATAAATTTTATATATAAATGTCCTACAGTAAATTATATATATTAATTTTTATAATAAATGTATTATTATTTGTTTATTTTGAAAAACAAAGATAAGTTTCATAATTAAAATAAAACAATAATAGATATTTGTATATTATTTCTGTTACAGCACCATTGCCGCAATTGTGGAAATATTTTCTGTAACGCTTGCAGTGACAATACTACAGTCTTGCCGAATTCAGCGAAACCGGTGCGCGTTTGTGATGAATGTTACGTATTTCTAGTTAGTCGTGACTCGGCGATGCGTTAATACTTCACGTGCTATTGTATTCTTTCTCATAAGCATGTTGTTCACCAGAGATTTCAGTCCAAAGCGCAGTCACACTCGAAAAAAATCGAAAACCTGGAATAAAGAAGAATAACAAAATCTGTCCTAAAATGTAGTCCACAAATGTTTGTATATGTTTTTTTTACGGTACGTTATGCATAACCATTTAAATTGGACGTGCGTGATGACGGACAAACCAATCTGCCGTGAACAATATTTTGTTCCAAGTTAAATAATTTTTTTTATAAAAATACTCGCGTTATTTTAGAATTTATATGATTGAGGTATAGAAATATTTAATTTTTATCAAATTTTATTATTGCAACATAATATCTAGTATACATATATTTTAGAAATGACAAATATATACATCATATATAGTTGCTAGAATTAATTTTTTCCAACGTATATTTTGTTTTGTCAAAAAAAGATTGCTTCACTTTATTGCCCAACAGTTATTACTATCTTTGACTGATAACGCCGCAAACGGCAAAAATCGATTAGATTGTATAAATGTTAATGAAAACTTGACGTTGCACCTTGCTTCTAGTACCGTTTCGATAATAGATGCATCCGTTATGCTCAGCTTGAGCAAGATAAGATACAGCGATGTGATCAAACTCAACAGAATCGATTAGTAAAGTATTGAAACTGCAGCTTTGTTTGTGCTGCAGTGTCCAAACGCGTGCCTGTACAACGATATTTTTAAAATGTTCTATACCGTCTGAAAGAGATATTATACATATACATATACATATATTATATATATATATATATAAATAAATGAAATGGTTTTTTAAATTGTACACGTTTTACTATTTATTCTATTTTCTAATATTTTATGTTATACGAATGCTAGAAATAAAAATATATTTATTCGAATATTTTCAAAAAAGAAATATGCGTCTACGTATTATCTTCATTGTTATCTTTTCTAGACAATATTTATGAAAACGTATTACTGTGTTATAATACTCTGAGAATGAGAATAATTTAATTAAAACTTATACCATGCAAACAGCTTATATCTTTGACGATCCTATGCAAGTACACTTTAAATGTCGTTAAAAAAGTTTAGCAGCTGATTTAATAATTGATTAAACGTTTCTAATAATTGTATTAATTGTAATTTAACGTTGTGGTAATATATACGAAGAGATTGTAACTTTTCGCTTTTAGAATCTATAAAAAAATTTTACTTTTTTCATCATAAACTTATATCTTTGGATGTATTAAAACTTATAGTCGGATCAATTTGTAACTCTTAAATACTGCTAAAGAGACTTTTCAAACATCTCATATCACAAACGATCGATTGATTAAAGCAATGCATTAACTGAGATTCCTTTTTCTACTTAAGTTCTATCGTAGTAGCACCGATTTTCCCCCCCAAAAAAAATAAACAGAAAAGAGAAGCGAAAATAGCTTCTTCTTGCACGAAAGCGATTTAAAAGAAAGAAAGCGGTGGCCGTAATGTGTAATCTACCTGCCGAACGTAAATCCGTTTCCTCAGGTGTGCATACCCGGGTCTCTCTAATCTCTACAACCGCACACTATCCCGTCTACTTCTCTTCGTCGTTGGAAAAGCAGTAAAACAGTCCGCGACCGCCCTCCATCGCGCGTGCCGTTCTTATCCTTTCTAGACGTTAACAATGCCTGCCTACCTACCACACCATAATCGCAAGCACCGCGTGAATACCTGCCTCGTGAAGCCTTCACGTGCGTGTGTCTGTGCGCATATAACGGTATATAAAGGGAGTTAAAGGGGGTGTCGTGTTACATGTATGCTCGCGGTACTCATGCTGCCTGACTGCGGTAAGTTCTGGCGGGTGGTTGCGCGAGGGTGAGAGAGGAAGAGAGAGAGAGTCCCGTCGAGACTGCCACCGTAGACCAACTTGTCGGATATCTACGACTTTCGAAAGCTCGTTAGCCGCGAGCGTGCATGCTTAAACGGCCGCTAAATTGAAATCGATCCCTGGCCGCCCCACATCGATCGCATGCGGCCTCGACGATTGGCGCGAATATCCGCTTCCATCTGTGTTCGCTCTGCATTAAGCCTCGCGGAGGGTTACCTAGTACAAGTGTGCACGCGACAATTGTGTTCGAATAAATTTCGTTGCATTCGTTGCAATCTGGTTCTCCAGAATCGTCGGAAGGGATGAATTCGGAGGATGGAATGGTATTAAATACAAAGATATTCGTTGATCGCGAAAAATAGCACATCAGATCAAGTTTGCGTCTTTAGAATATTTGTGTGGAAACAATAATTCTTATATACTTTTCGTTACATAATATTGTACAATAAAATGATCATTTATTTGTGATATATTACGATATAGACTGTCGTGATCCTAGGTTGTTTGAAATCAGTTAGCAAAGAAAATTTGTCGAAGAATACTTTTATAAATTTCAGATTCCTAAGTATCCGTTCCGAAATGATGAGTCAGTATAGGTATGATCATACAAATAAAATAATGCACTGGGTGCTACGAGGCATTAATGATGGTATAGCGTGTTTCACGAGTCGTGGAACGCGGTGCCAAGATCATGAAGGTAAAGTTGCTTTTACAGTGGAATCACTGACACGCAAAGTGGCTTGGTCGCACGTTCTTATATTGCATGCCGTCGTCACAACAATTGATTGGCTCCTCATCTTTTATATGATACGAAGTCAACACGTAGCAAGTAATCGTGACGCAGCTTATATGGTATGTTTACATTAAAGAGCTTTAGATACGCTGTAAAAAAATTCTGAATTATGATATTAAAAAAAATATATTGCGTGGTAGTTTATATTACATTAATAATAATCCTTACATTTCACATCTATGTGAACAACTTTTTATCACGAAAATAAGGACGAGACGTTTTTTCAGTCTCTTCGAGCAATGGAAGATTGAAAATCTTGGTCTCTGTTAATACGAGTGAAATATTTCTTTGATCTATGTTCCAAAACTGAATTAGAAAAGGGAGTTTCACGGCGCATCCATATCTAAAGGAATCGCATGCATGTAATAAGCGAAAACAATTGTACGTAATGGCGCTGAACCGGAGGTGCGATTCCATCAAGTGGCACGCGTGCTGAAAATAGTATCCGCGGCGAGCATGAATTATCACGCGAGCCACTTCTATTGCAATACTTTGAGAAACAAATCGTTGATGAGGGGTTGCATTATTTTACTTTATGCCGCAGGTGTCTTTTCTGATTTCAATGTTTATTCACTATTTAGCTTGCGCGTGTGTACGGATGGGTTGATCTTTTTCTTTATTCTATGTATAAAAATGCTATATACTACGTATATATTTTTGAATACGCGCAGCAATAGATATGCAGGAACAAAATTGTCTGCTAGGCTCGAATGCGTGGGAACTTCGCGAAAGGATTTTTTCTGCATGAATGTGTATCACGAACTAGTCCGAAAAAATGGTGACGAAAAAAACCGTACGAATATACGAAAAAAAGCAATATTGCGTACGTATCACGCTACGGGTGGTAAAGTGGACAATTCGCTGATGCATCGAAGCGTAGAAAGTTATGGGGAACAGAAAAAACAAATAATTGTTTTCCGTAACAATGCATCGGTAAACTGCTTTGTATTTATTTTTGCAGAGTATTTACAAAGTTTTAATAACACACAAGTTCCTTAGATTGACATGTATAAATATCAATCAATCAGTTTCTTTCACAATCGTAAATTGCTATTTAACCATTTAGATTAGAGGAGATTATGGCTTATTTGGATAAGAAAAAAGTATTTTGATTTTTTAACTGTCAATATATATATATATATACTATATAAATATTAAAAATAAAACGGATATATTCAAACAACTTTGTAACACAGCAGTAACAATTTTAATTGTTTAGTTGTTAAAATAGACATATTTTTAGATCTCTGTATCAAACATAAAAGTTTGAGAAATCATATCAACAACAAATAAAACAATTGACCATTTTATTTAGTAAAAAAATTAAGTAAATTTTAGTATTTTATAAAACATGTATTCCTTTTTATCTTCTTTATAAAAAATGTTAACAAATTAAGTATACATAATACATAGTATATAATAGCAATCTGTATATTATTCATTTTATTTATAATATATTCTTGAATTATTTTTTAATTATTTTTATTTATTGATATTGCTATAAGTAATTTCAAATATAAATAATTTCGCGCAATGTAGAAATAATGCAAATTTCATGATTGATAAAGAATCAATCATCTACTTACAATTAGTAAATACTTTATTAGAAAAAATTTTCAATTTATGATGGAAGATTAAATTATTTAATATTTATTGCAGAGATTTTAGTGAGATAATTATTAAGTTTACAGTTTATTTTTTATGTTATTACAAAAATAATACCAAAAAATACAATTTATATAAAGCTTTTAACATTGTACAAGCAACTTATTCAACTTTGTGTTATATGCTTGGTAATTTAATTTACATTTATATTTAAATATAATTAATTTATAATATAAGCGCAAATGGTGAATACAAAATAAAAAAAATAAGATAAAATATTATTTATACGTCAAAGTTATGTTTTAACTTTGTACATAATACAATAAATGAGAAACAAAATTTATATTATAATATATCAATCGATTGAAAATGAATGAGCCTGAATATCATCGCTCTTTTCCAATTTTTATAAATATAATATATCTTTGATAAAAGAAAGATTTATAATGTATTTTATTATAAATGACATATTAACATATAATTTTAAGTTAATTGACTGATATCAATCGTTGCAAATATTATTGTATCCTTCTTCTGAATAAAACAATTAGCATCATTCATCATTCGAAATAATAATGCATTAATTTAAATCTATTTTATATTATAACTTTTATAATAAGAATATGTGTAAAAAAATGTTATAAAATAAAATTGTACGTATGAAACGTATAAAGTATACAATACATCTAAATATAATACATCTAGTAAAAGGATTTTCAATTTGGTAAGCACATATTATATAAATAAAGCTAAACAGAATAAAATTTGTGTAAAATGAATATCAAGGTGTTTCAAAATTTGCCCGTACTGAACAAGAAGCAGATGCGGAGCGAAATAAGATCGTCAGAATGATTACAAGGCAATGTAATTATTGCAACAGTAATTATCATGCAAACTCTTTCTCAACTTTTTCGATTGACGTACTCGTTAATCAGAATGAAAGTAGACTTACAATCAGACAAGATTTATTTTTTGCGGATGTCCCACAAAAAAATGAGAAAAAAATTTTCAGCATTAATCAT